GAGACACTCAATTAAAATAATCTTGTTTCTTTTCCCTTTTCTTTCATTAGCCCTTCCTTCCTTCCAATCCTTCCAACTTCTTGATATTCCATGGGATATATCCATAGACATTAAGGGAAGAAGAAAACTTCATGACCCATCACTCTTATATAGTTAGATTAGAAGACTGACAGGAACTCAAAATCAATGCACTTTCTCAACAGCTCATTATAAATAAATGTTTTCAAGATACATACCATATAGTGCATATCAAGCCCATCATCATCAATTACAACAAGAGCACCACCAGCAGGGGCTACAGTAGACAGAACTTCAATCTTTCCCCCAACTTGAGTACGCAATAAAGCACCTTCAATCAAATTGCTCAAAGCTTGCCGTAAAGCAGGTTCTTCAACAGCTACATGTAAAGGTCCTGTTTGTTCACACAGTTCCACAGCTCTCTGCTGATTATGTGCTAAAGGTTCCATTGCCTCAACCAATTCTGTTAGTACATTTGACATGTTGCACGGTCTTTTGAACCCCAAATGTCATATGAAGTTTTTAATAAAAAAAGAAAGCGAGTTAGTGGTGCAATATGTAAAATAGCCACAAAAGCTACTGCATGCATGTATGTGCAGGAATGAGAATTCATGCAAGAAGTGGATGAATCACAATCTTAAAAGAGGGGCAGGAGAAGGGGAAGAATAAGGGAAAGGGAAGAGGGAACACATAAAGTAATAAGGTTAGTCTGCTTTGGAAATGAGGGGATTTATTTACAAAATACTACAAGGAAAACAGAAAGGTAGCATCACAAAATCTGGACCACCAAGGAAGAGAGAACTTTGAAACTACTTAGTCTTTCATTACATTCCACTTTATTAGAATTCGTACACTTAGGAGGATCAAATAGAGTGTGTCTTTTAATGGCTGTCCTGCTATGCCCATAAAATCCAAATCTCTTTTTGCAAAAGCAAAAATAAAGTTGATCCAATAACACACTAAAAGTCAGGCATGAAACACCTTAAGAGTAACAGAAGCCTACCTGATTCCTTCTCGATGTACAGGTGCAAGAGCAAGAGGTGGCATTGGCAACTCTTGATCCTTAGATCTCGAATTAAGAGAAAATTGTCCTCTAGACTCCTGTTGCTTATAAGAATTATCAGCAAAAATTGGCTGGTGCATCTTCTTCAGTTTTTCTTCATTGAAGCGGGTAATATTAGCCTGAATGAAAGTAAAAGCTCATAATCAATACCCTTTTCAGTTTTAAATGATACCTGAACTCCACTTCTTATCATGATGAATAATAGCACTTTATGTCATATTGGCAATTGCCAATTAACAAAGCCCTTCCTGCTAACCCTCCTGGAACAGGAGTAGCACACAGGAAATTTGTTTATCTCATTATTAGACCACATAAATGTGTCCATATATGCATAGATTATTTAACTTGTACTTCAACAATGGCAGCCCTCGATCTTATATTTTCAAAATTAAACAGGTTCTGCTAGTAAAACTTCAGTGCTTCCCATGAGCTCTACAAATGAAAAAAAAAAAGGATGGAAAGAGATTCAAACAGAGAGAGGGAGGAGGTAGAGGACCTTTGTGAGGTGAACAGCATCCTGCATCTGTTGAAGAGTATCTCTCATTGAATCACCTTGCTCCAAAATGTCCTCCACAATATCATATGATATCTGCACAAGCTCATCACTACCACCCATCTCTTTGCAGGAAAAAAAGCTTTCTTGGGCAGAAAAAGTGTGTGTGTGTGTGTGTGTGGGGGGGGGGTATCCTGTTGTAAAGGTACAAACCTCATTTTTCTTTGTGTGGACAGATAACATTTTGCTCAAAGTTTGCATGCTGGAAAGGGAACTCCGAATCTGTGATTATGGATTAGTTAAAAGATCTTCAACATCAAATACAGTTGACAGGTGCTAAAATTTAATGAATCATACAGTTACTGTACTACATTATCAAAGAATCTTACTTGTTCAACCAAATTACTCATCCTCACATTATTTTGCCAGGAGGACTGCTGGAGCAGGATTGCTTTCTGAAAAAGAAGACAAGTAAGTTTTTATGCAGAACTAATGTCAATTTAGTGTAATTACAAAGTTAAGAAAATTTATAAAAAATAAAGAACATCAAATATCATATTAAATTAAATGTACCATTTGTCATGAAGCTACCTGGTCCATTACATAAGCCATTGCTATTGAGCGAGAAATGTGAAGAGCATTTAGTCTTTGCTCAGCACTGAACTTGAACATCCCCATTAAGTTGTCTTCGCTTGTTTGGAGTGCGAATGATTTGGGCTCCACACCGTGGGGCAAAGAATATAGCTCCCGTTTGCCAGACCAAGCTTCTGGATCATGTAATCCTTTATCAATAGAAGTAGTTGGAAGCTCAGCAACTAAGAAGCCAACAACAAAGGGGTGTTTGACCATAGGAAACACCACAGCTCCAAGCTCAGGAAGTAATTCTGCCTACCAATAAAAGAAACATTCATCCAATATCCAAGAAACAATTTAGAGACAAAATTAAAGTGTTCAATTGCAATTGAAAAGACAAATATGAGAACTGAATTATCACACCTCTAGGTTTGAAAGAGCAGCTTCTGCAGCTCTTAAACCCGTGGCAACGCTAAAGTTTCCAATGAGAATTACAATATCAGATGTATTAACACCTGGATATAAAGTGACACGGCGCAACTCTAGACGGTCCATAACGTAGCTACCAGCTGGTCTCACATAAACCTGCATTTTGCTTGATCAGAGAACAGATCATTACAAACATCAGAAATCATAAGATAGTGATAAAATTAGGATAATTGCTCAAAAACCATAAGGAAACTAGCGGGGATAATATAATAATCTAATATAGCCAATCTGAGTAATCTATTAGGTGATCGTATGAAAATAGAAAGTGGAAAGAAGTGAAATAATGTTTCCGATTTCTCACCGAAAATATAGCTTCGGGATGGACAATGCGACGAAAGAGGTCCAACTGTTCAAGGCAAAGCCTCTGGAAGTCGGGGCTAGGGAGGACCAAGTTTCTGTTCTTGTCGCCGTCTTTCTCTACCACCTGCACGAATTCCACAGGCGAAGTGGAGGAATTCCGAATTGCCGCCGCAACAGCGGAGGCGGAAGACACCATTGCCGGCTCCTCTCCTCCACCTTGAGCGGGATCATCGCCGGCGCAAGTGTCGCTCACTTGACGGAGATAATCAGTGCTAGCAGTAGACGGAGAAGGCGAGAAGGAGGAGGCGGTGTGAGTGAGTAGGGTTGGCCTTTGCGGGGAGGCATGAGCGGCTGCTCTGCAGAGAGCGGAGTATTTGGTGGCGACGGCGGAGGCAGCGGTTGCGGCGGTAGGGCAGAAGAGTAAGCAGCAGTTATGGTGGTGGTTGGCGGGAATGGATAGAGGAGTTTGCGGTGGAAATAGAGAGAGCACCATTTTCTTCTTCTGTGCCGGCCAGTCGGAGTTGGGTTTGGTGGTTTCTTTTGTTACACCAGCTCGGGAAGTGTCTATACTATGGGTCCCACTTCGGTATACGGCGGCGTTTAACAACCAGTAGTTCTTCTTTTTCTTTTCCTTTTTCTTTTTATTTATGAATTTGATATACTATAATGTTATCTTTATCTCTATACTTTTTCACTTTTAAAAGTGAATCTTGTATTTACAAGAGTACATCACTAAATTTGTAATTCATTCACTATTTTCTTTACATCCATGCAATAGCCTCTCAAAGTAATGTCACTTTCATATTACAATAATAAATTAATAATTTTTTAATGAATATATACATATATAAAATAAAATAAAACAAATGTAGAAAAGCTGTCAAACGGCATTGTATCGGAAGTTTGCTAAAATAGTAAGCTGGTTGATACACCGTGTAAATAAAATAAAATAAAAAATTATATGCAAACACATCATCTTGAAAGTGTGTCTCTTTCAGGGTTAAGAATAATCTAAATGTTATTTAAATCTACTCAACTATTCACTATGGACATTTCAAATCCTCCTTCAATGCATAATTAATGACAATTTCACAATATAGAAATTTTGTGTAATTTTGATGACTATCACTTTTAATTGTTTGAAATTATTGAACTACTCAAGTATTATAGTTAGGTGTGTACAATAAAATATATTTATAGAAAAATTAATGTGTGGATAACACGAAATACTTCTCAAATTGAGATGTTTTTTTTTTTTAAGTAAATCAAACACTCTAAGTTTTTTTTTTTTTTTTTAAACACTCTAGAATAAACCTCCATAACTCCATTAAAGATCACAAACTTACAAAGCTTGTTTTACTCTCATCTCAATAATGCTAGACTTGTCTCTCTTCATTGATGTAACACAATCCCCTTGCACCATAAATTATGCCTTAGTGGTTTAATAGAGAAATAATTAGAGCGATTTTCACTTGGTTCCAATAATGATATTGCTTATATTCTAAATAAAGACCGACTATGAATTTCTAACCCTAAAAGAATTACTCTCCATTAGTTTGATTCTTTGCTTAACATTTTAGGAAGACATGTAGGAGAGAGGAAAAAAAACAGGTCTGACCCTGAAAAAAAAAAAAATTTTCATAGGCTCGACTGGGCACCGTCTGTGCAGGTTACGTATAGGCGGCATAGCAACCTGCAAGCCCCATAAAAATTATCTTTGTATGAGATACTAACTCTTATCTTGCTCCACATTTCTCATCCACATAAGTCATCTTTTCCTAAAAAAAATGTGTAAAAACAACAGATTGGGGAAGCTCTTATTGACGCATCCATATTAGCGTTAGTTGAACCTCATATTCTAATCCATTAAGTTCCACTGCTTGTATTTATGTGATGAAAGTTTTATGTTAATCTTGTAAAATACGAAATGAAATTTTTTATTCAATAGAGAAATATAAAAAGTAACTAAAGTTGTCAACTTTAGAACCTTGACTCCTCCGCCCCCCACCAATCTCTAACGGCACACAAACAACGATCAATTAAATCCAGGATTTGTAGCCGTTAAATCCCTCCCTCCACTCTCCACTTCAACCAGAAATTTAAGCACTCTGTGAAATTCTGCCGCAGCAAGCACTTTCAAGATCAAGAGCGGTGACCCAAGACGCAGTTTCCAAATTTTTCAGAGAGCCAACACAGATCCCGATATGGATTCTGGTTCTCTGAAGAGGAAGAGACCTCCCATGATCGAGATTCCTAATGTCCTCCGTGAAATCAGTGCGCCCGAGGAGCCGAGAGCTTGTGCCACCGCCGCCCAGGACGACGCCGTGTGGTTCAGTGCTAAGGGGGTGGGCGTTTTCTCCCTCAAAGGCCGCAAGAAGTTCATGGAGGATACCCACAAGATTGTTTGTTGCCCGCATGCCAAAAAGGTCCCATTTCTTGAACTGATATATTGTTAAGAATAATGTAGAATGTGCTGTGTGTTTCTGGGAATTCTTTTTTGTGAAAATTGGGCAAAGTTTCTTTCTTTATTAGTTTTAAATGGATTTAATTTGGACTTTGAAATGTAGGGATTTTTTGGAGTGTATGATGGGCATGGAGGGAGCAAAGCTGCTGAATTTGTAGCAGAGAATTTGCATTCTAATATTCTGGACATGCTGAAGAATTCACCTGGCAGTTCAGCCAAAGAAGATGCCATTATGGCTGGGTATTTGAAAACTGACTCTGAATTCTTGAAAAAGGTATGAGAATCTATAACTGGTCTTTATTAGGTTCATACTGTAGGCAATTTGTTGTTTTCTTGAACATTCATCATGTGTTAACCATATCATAGATGAAATGCTGCAAGATTTCCCATGTATACCCACCATGTTTACTGCAATAAACTGCAAACTAAGTTAGCTCTTGGGTCATTTAAAAGGCTCTTACTTTAAGTTTTACAGGGAATATGCAGTGGTGCCTGCTGCGTCACTGCTTTGGTTGAAGGAGAGGAGATCATAGTTTCCAATTTAGGGGACTGCAGAGCAGTTCTTTGTAGAAGCGGAGTAGCTGAAGTCCTTACGAGAGATCATAGAGCTGGACAAGAGGATGAGCGGAGAAGGATCGAGGATAAGGTACCTCTTTTCTTGCATCAAAACTGTTCTTTGAGCTAATAACATGTAGGAGATCCGTGTTTGCTGATCACAACTTCTTTGAGCTTCTGGTATAGGGAGGCTACGTTGAGATTCACCGAGGAGCTTGGAGAGTTCATGGTGTACTCTCGGTTTCCAGAAGCATTGGAGATGCTCATTTGAAGGACTGGGTAGTGGCCGAGCCTGACACAAAGAGAATGTGCCTTACTGCAGATATGCAATATCTTGTTTTAGCTTCAGATGGACTTTGGGACAAGGTTGGTAGAAATCCTGCTGTGAAAAAGGCCAATCTTTTTTAGCAATCCTTTCAACTTTTAGTATTTTGTTGATGTAGGTTGAGAACCAGGAAGCCATAGATATGGTGATGCAATCATGTCAACCGGGACCAAAAGATGATGATTTAAAAGAAAACGTGTTTGAATTTGATTGTATAAGCACCAGTCCCTCTTCAAAGCTAAAGAGAATTTCTCTAGTGAAGTCAAACAAAGGAAACGAAAGCGATTTTGGCACTGAAAATGGAAGTCCTGCACAAAAGTCTCTGAGGATTTCATTGGCCAAGTCTAGTAGAGTAGGAGGCTACTCTCCATGCTCTAACAGAAGTTCTGATAACTGGAAAGAAACAGATGATGAATTCAGCAGAGAAACCGAAACTCCATTGAAGGCTCGACGAATTTCACTGGCACATTCAAGTATAAGGGCAGGCTGCTCTCCATGCTCGACTAAAAGTGGTGATGCCTGGAAAGAAACAGACGATGAATTCAGCAGAGAAAACGAAAGCCCATTGAAGGCTCGACGAATTTCGCTGGCCAATTCGAGTATAAGGGCAGGCTGCTCTCCACGTTGTAAGAGAAGTGTTGTTGATAGCTGGAAAGAAAATGAAGAAAAGAGTGCACTTGTGGATGCCTGTAAGAAACTTGCAAGCCTTGCTGTGACAAAGGGTAGTTTGGATGATGTAACTGTGATGATCATTGATCTTGCTCATTTCAAAAACTTGCCATGAATTTTTCAGATAGTTTTGTTTGCTTCTGCATATATATATATATATAATTCTTTCTTCCTACATGTTACAACATGCCAGTTAGCTCTTGAACCTTGCATCAGATGTTGCAATTTGAACAAACTAACAATGCAAGAGAGATAAGAATGGATGAAAACGGGTTAAACTATTCTTGAAAGGAACTGTCCAAACGAGATAACTCTTTTGAATTCCAAAAGTTTCAATTAGAATTACTTGGATAAGACGTTTTAGTCTAAAACTCTTGCCATATAAGCAATATGAAACTATTCAGAACAATAGAGGCGGCACTAAAACATGAAAGATGTAATAGACTAATAGGTAACTAAACACCAAATGCTTAATCAAAATTGACTCCATGGCCCAATGGATAAGGTGTTGGTCTACGAAACCAGAAATTCTGGGTTCGATCCCCAGTGGAGTCATGCCCCTTTTAACTTGTGTCCAATCATTGCAATCTGCTTTACCTTCTTTTTCTTTTTTCTTTTACATTCTTACTATTATTGTTGTTATATCCTCCTCGGCTCGTCTTCTTTGCAATGTCTAATAATACTCTTCACCAAACTTCTAGATTCAATTGGGACATTAGGACTAAATGTTACTGCTGATTTTTCAAGGTTTAATTTTCTTTGCTTCAACAGTGAGAAGCAAATGTGGGATTGTAGAGATATTAGGACATTTTCATAGTTAAATTTGATTTAAAAAAATCAGTAAGCTAATAGAAAATGATGCTTAAAGAAGTGTTTTCCATCTCACCTTATTGAGGCCAATCATCTAATACAAAAAGCCAATTAAGGAAACCAGAGATTCTGGGTAAAAAAATTGACAATAACTCTACTACATAAGTGCATTCAGATTGTAATTAAAAAAAAAAAAAAAAAAAAACATTTATTGTAATTAACATGTCATAAAATAAATTCTGCAACACTATTGCATGTGACTCTGTGGCCCAATGGATAAGGCGCTGGTCTACGAAACCAGAGATTCTGGGTTCGATCCCCAGCAGAGTCGTTTTAGTAGTGCTATTGATTTCCTTTTCCTTTTCTTTCCTTCCAAAGTACACCCCTTCTGGTGCTATTTATTCTCCCTTTTGCATGCTATACCCAATATGCTTTGGCTTTAAAAGTTTAACCTGTTCTTCCACTGAATGTACCTGCAAAGCTAGCCAATTTAGGTACTATGAAGTTGTAGACAACGAGAACGAAGCCAAAAATCTGCACATCTCAACCAAACATTTATTCTTACACTGGGTTTCAAAGTTCAGTGTTACACCATTCATTTGATTCGTTTACACCCCTCCTCCTCGGGGTGTTACACTGTTCATTTGATTCGTTTACACCCCTCCTCCTCAGGTTGGGATGGGCTTCAGTAACACGAGTTTGAGGGTCAGAGTAGAGGCCATCACCAATACGGTCAGCGACCCATCTATTTGCAGCCTCAGTGTAATGTACGCCATCCCAGCTGATATACTCTGAAGGATTATTGCAGCTGGTTGCATAAACATCGGTTGTTAATTATTGCAGCTTCAGTGTAATGTACGCCATCCCACCTTAGGTAATTCTTAGTTACCAAACCAAGAAGGTCTTGACCAACTTGGTTGTTAATTGTTATTGTCCCAGATAAACCACCATTTCATAATCTGAAATCAAGATTTCTTGTTTCTGTTTGAGATTTAAATTTTGCACCTGAAAGATCTTTCTTTTTGTGTTTTTCCATGTGTTCTTGACATTTCTGTGCAGCTGAAAAACTGGGATTGCCATACTTGAGTGCAGATGGCGTACATTACACTGAGGCTGCAAGAATTACCATCGGAGGCTCGGCCGGAAGGTTTGCCAAAGAAAGTGACACCGTTTGGAGGGGGAAATGGGCCAAAAGCTGCAGACCTACTACCAGTATCGGAATTTAATTTGAGTCTCCGAAGTTGAAAATTGCCGGAATATGAAAGCTGCTTCCGGTGGACAGACCAATCTTCTGGCTCCCAGAAATTTGAAGAAAAGACAGTGCCATGGCAGCTGCTACAACAACACCCACAATGGGTTTCATCTTCCAATGCAATTATGGAATGAAAGATTGCAACTTTTATGCTTTCATCTCTTTCTCCACCACTCCATAATTTTAAGTTATCAGTTGAAATGTTGAATACAAAAGACTTATTTTTCAGTAACACCAAACAAGTGGGAGTTATTCTGTGTTGGGAAAATGGCATTTTTTTTCTTTAATTATATATTTATATCATGTTTGTTCATAAATTATTGATGTAATATTATATTCTCAAAAGGTAAATGTCTTTGGAAAATATTATAGTACCAAAGATCAAGTATTTCTTGGAGGATATTATATTCCTGAAGGGTTATGTCCTACACCTATGTAAAGGGCCTTAACCCTTCAAACTTAGACAGACAATAAACATTAAGCAATCAGAAAAGAATCAAAGACTCGTCTAAGCCAATCTTCCCTCTTTCCTTTATTTTCATTCATTAATTCAATTTTTCTTAAATACTTTTCATATATACGGTAGTACCTGTAAGTCTGTAACCAATAAAACCATCATTCACATCTTTACATTAATTTCTCAATTATTTTAAAAGTAGCCATTTTTCTCCTTTTATGTTGAAATAGACATTTTATCCTTAAAATAAGTATTTTATTTATAAATGAGAATCAGATGTGAAAAAGAGCAAACACCATTTGCAAATTGCAAATATTATAATAATAATTTTAAACTAATGATAATAACAAAAATTAAGACTTAAATACAAATACTTCATTAATACTAAATTTATTATTAATGAATTATTGGTGGTTAATGCTAAATTTAGTATTAATGAATTATTCGTGTTTAAGTCTTTATTAGTATTAACTTATAATTATAATATTTGTAAATGGTTTTTTTTTTTTTTTTTTTTTTTTTTTTTGAATAAGGTTCAAATTGGCCACTGAATGTAACTTGAAAATGCAATTAGGTCACCGAACACTCCAAAAACGTGCAATTAGGCCACTGAACACTCTAAATGTATGCAATTTCACCGGATAACAAGTTACCATCAATTGTAGCAGGTTACCTGCTAACGTGGCAGTTGAGTTGGCATTTTAAATAATTTTTAATAAATTTTAAAATAAATTTAATAATAAATTTTAAATTTTACCTGCTTACCATCAATTTTTTTTTTAATTTTTTAAAAAATTTACAATTAAAAATGTCAACTCAGTTGCCACGTAAACAAGTAACCTGCTACAATTGATGGTAACTTGCTATCAGGTGAAATTGCATACATTTGAAGTATTAATTGTATTTCAGGTTAGTTCATTGGCCAATTTGAACCTTATTCCTTTTTTTATCATATGTATTCTGATTTCATGCAATAAGTTGTCAACTTTAGAACCTTGACTGCTCCGCCCCACCAATCTCTAACGGCACACAAACAACGATCAATTAAATCCAAGATTGTAGCCGTTAAATCCCTCCCTCCATTCTGCACTTCAACCATTCTGCACTTCAACCAGAAATTTAAGAACTCTGAAATTCTGCAGCAACAAGCACTTTCAAGATCAAGAGCGGTACGTGATCCGAGACGCAATTTCCAAATAATTTTTCAGAGAGCCAACACAGATCCCGATATGGATTCTGGTTCTCTGAAGAGGAAGAGACCTCCCATGATTGAGATTCCTAATGTCAAGCATACATGCATATTTATTTCTTTGTGAAAACCATTCTGCATGTGCTATTTGAAACCCTATGAAGTTTATTTATCTTAGAATATACAATAGTATTATTGTAGGCAATTTGATAAGCACATACAATTAACATGAAATCATATGAGTTATAAATATTAATAATAAATTATTGTATAAAAAAATTATATTTTTAATACTAACAACTATTTTATAATTAATGAATTTTTTTTAAAAAGTATATGTATCCCTTTGGAGGTGTAAATAAATAACTAATTTTACTGAACATATCTCGATTACCAAACAAGGGCGGGCCAAAATATTAGGGTAAAAAAATTGACAATAACTCTACTACATAATTGCATTCAGATTTTAATTGTATAAAATATCTTGCAATTGCATATGACTCTGTGGCCCAATGGATAAGGCGCTGGTCTATGAAACCAGAGATTCTGGGTTTGATCCCCAGCAAAGTTGTTCCAATAGTGCTATTCATTTCTTTTTTCTTTGCTTTCCCTCCAAAGTACACCCCTTCTGCTGCTATTTATTCTCCCTTTTGCATGCTATACCCTATATGCTTTGGCTTTAAAAGTTTAACCTGTTCTTTCACTGAATGTACCTGCAAAGCTAGCCAATTTAGGTACTATGAAGTTGTAGATAACAAGAAGGTCAACCAAACATTTATTCTTACACTGGGTTTCAAAGTTCAGCGTTACACCGTTCATTTGATTCGTTTACACCCCTCCTCCTCGGATTGGGATAGGCTTCAATAACACGAGTTTGAGGGTCAGAGTAGAGGCCATCAGCAATCCGGTCAGCGACCCATCTATTTGCAGCCTCAGTGTAATGTATGCCATCCCAGCTGATATACTCTGAAGGATTATTGCAGCTGCCGTTTACTCTAACATCTTGCCAACAAGGCAAGTCGTGACTTTGCCCACAGCAATACCCCAATGGATTCGAAAAACCTGCAACCAAATCAATCTCAGATGTGATCAACCCTTAAAGATGCATTTTTTAAGGCTGGACTTACTTACCATAGGCTGCAGCTTTGCTTATCAGATCGTATTTAGCAGAGTAGATGTCGACGTAGGTGATTCTTGAGCTCTGGAGCTGATCGCGCAATTTGTAGACTCGTTCTTTAAGTTGCTTGTTGAACTCCCGGGCCACCTCATTGTAGGCCTCCACGCACCCGTTTTGATCAGTGGTTTCCGGTTTTTGTGGATCATCATCAATAGCAAAGAATGGCAAACACCCTATGGGGCCTGTGTTGTGGATCCAAAACGCCCTTGCGCCTAGCTGGTGGAGTTTCTGAGATACAGAGAACAAAAGGTTAGAGTAATTGCACATTTGCACAATCCGTTTGAGTCCGCCAACATACACAACATTACTTGTTCACCTCTAAAACCATTGCAAATTTATCAATAACAGAACTTATGGACTCTTTTGCTTCTTCTTCTGTCATGGATGTCAAGAAATAATGGAGGTCATTCTGTCCCATGTCCATTGTGTACAGACCCCTTGAAAACTCATCTTCTTCAGGCAGCACCTTGCATTTACCATCTTCATCCTTGGCTGAGCAGAAAATGGTGACAATATGTTATAACTACAATTATCCCAAGTTCCCAACATACTTTTTTTGGTTAACGAGAAAAACCCACAATCACTACTCGAGAGTGTACACTGTGTAAACCAGGTCTAGGTTGTCCCTTCCAGACCAGCTTAAACCAAGAAAGCCCCACTCTCATTGGGAATCAAACTTGTAACCTCGTAGTTACCTAGTCAATTAGGTCTAACCTTGTTCATAAAACTCTGCAGTGCGAGCTCGCAATTGTTGAAACTGGGAGAGCTGTATGCCAAGAGACAAAGGATTAAAGTTTGCATCATACATCTTTCCATTGCTCTGCTGAATAGTGGCTCCACTCACTGCAAAATTCGCCCCCTGCCTGAAATTGCTTCCTATAGAGTCCAGAAATGCACTCAAGTATGGCAATCCCAGTTTTTCAGCTGCACAGAAATGTCAAGAACACAAAAAGAAAGAACTTTCAGGTGCAAAAATTAACCTTAAAGCACTACTACACCTAAATCTCAAACAGAAACAAGAAATCTTGATTTCAGATGACGAAATAACAACCAAGTTGGTCAACGCCATATTGGTTTGAGGGCTGTCATACTTTCTTGTGGTCCCTTTACTGATAGAACAGAATCTGAGATTTTATTGGTTTATCCATCGTCAAGATTCTTTCTGTACTATGTCCAAGAAGTTTCTGAAAAACAGAATTACCTATGAAGTCGATGATGAGGCGGCCATCGGAGGCTCGGCCGGAAGGTTTGCCAAAGAAAGTGACACCGTTTGGAGGGGGAAATGGGCCAAAAGCTGCAGACCAACTACCAGTATCGGAATTTGAGTCTCCGAAGTTGAAAATCGCCGGAATATGAAAGCTGCTTCCAAGAGGAGAATACCCAATCTTCTGGCTCCCAGAAATTTGAAGAAAAGACAGTGCCATGGCGGCTGCTACAACAACACCCACAATGGGTTTCATCTTTCAATGCAATTATGGAATGAAAGATTGCAACTTTATGCTTTCGTGAGTTCATATCTTTCTCCACTACTCCATAGTCCATAATTTTAAGTTATTGAATACGGAGTACTAAAGACTTCTTTTCCGTCACGAGACTGTGTATGTATTTGAGTTGATTCATAATTATAGTCTTCCTCTAAGTCTCTTCTTTGTCTTGTATATATACCTAGATTTTGGACTCTTGTAATTTATTAGTGTGACTGTTATACAATTCAATACAGTTCTACGAAAGTGTATTCGGATTCATTTTTTTCTAAATGACTAAATTAAAGAACATTTACTATTAAATATATTATGTAATACAAAATTTTGCAAATGACTCTGTGGCCCAATGGATAAGGCGCTGGTCTATGAAACCAGAGATTCTGGGTTCGATCCCCAGCAGAGTCGTGTTTAATGTTTTCTCACCTCTCAGGTTTTCTACACTGTCATATCTTCCCAACATGTTACTACATTAATTTTTCCACAGCAATACCCCAATGGATTTCAAAAACCTGTGAGCAAATCCCAAACATCATCATTCAACAACCCTTTTCTGGTTCAAAACAATGATGTTCTTTCACTGTATTTAAGATTTTAAGGAAAGCATATATTAATGCAGAAATGCATAAAGGAAGCATTCAGAAAAAACAAAAAATGATAGCATTTACTCATACAAAGCTGCAACAGAACAAGCAGAATATAGAGTTAGCAGTATGGGGAAGAAATGAACTCTAAACAATACATTTTTCCTTATAGATTGCTCAAGAAGTTCATAACAGGATTTGCCTTAAATGTTGGCTAAAATTTTCATGTTTTACATAGTGATACAATAACATCTGTCTCTGCACAAGATCATATGCTCAAGCCAGATGACAATTATCAGAAAAAGGCTAAATCTGGGCTTGTTCCTACCCAGCAGTATTCTTGGGGTTATTCGGGATGCCTTTCTACACCATCTTGATTAGGATTCTTCAACTTTCAAAATAAACCAACCATCCCATCCGCAAAGAAAAGAACCCAGATCAGTAAAAAGCCAACACAATGGTGGAATTAAGAGTTTGAACCTGAGACTGCAACTATTCAGCCGCCTCTAATGCCCACCGGAATTCTGGATTTTCTTAGAAGAAGTTATGTACAAGGGCCCTCGACTTCTCAGGATCTAGGAGCCAAAACCCTCGACTGCAATTAAAGATTTAGAATAAATTCAGTATTGTCCATTCCATTTAGAGGAGCATCAGCAAAGGATTATTACGTTCAGTAAGAACACGAGAACTCAAAGTGACTATTCTCGATACTTTGGAAGGTTAATAGGTTATTCAAGTATATAAATGGAGCATGGCATGCTTAATACAAAACTTACCAGTCAAGATTAATTTGGTATGAAATTAGCATAAATACAGGCATAACATTACCAAGAATTCTCTACCTACTTTGAGTGACTGAATGCAAAAATCTCTAATCTTCTGTGTTTCCAAGAAGATTTACTTCTAACTTACAACTTTGTTAAACACTCTACTCAATCCAGTCCACTTATTTCAATGTTTAAACTAAAAGCCATGACCTTTTGCCTCCCTCAAAAGGATGTGTTTCGTCTAAGCTGATTGATCCAACACATTTATTATTTTATATATATTATGCTCAAACATGCCGAACTTAACACACACACACACACACACACACACACACATATATATATATAAAGACATAAGAGGCACTAGTCTTTCAACCTAAGAAGCTATTAAGTTGCCGTGACTTGCCCTCCATTCTAGATGGTGGTTTTATTTTCAAGAGATGTTTTTATAGAAAAGTCCAAAGCCAACCAACAAGTCTAGGATAACCTAAATAATAAAAAATCTTGATTCTTGACAGTGATATCATATCTGATTTTGTGGAAATCCAACATCAATTATTGTCCTTGTGATGGACTTCTCAACCTCAATTAGTCAATTGGCTTATCCTAGGCTCTCACTGAATATTCTATGAATCAAAATAAAATAAAATAAAATAAAAGGAGCAAAGCCCCTCCCCAGTCTCCACCCACTTTCTCTAACCTATAAAATAAAGACTTAAAGAACAATACCCAAGATCCCCATAGATTCCACAGCATAATCCAATATCCAGTAAAGTAACTACAGGATCATAGATTCATAGTATAATGAGCCATAAGAAAAAGTAAAAATTACATTTTTATCCTTCCGTTATACAGTATAATAAACTTAGTACCTAGTTATATTCTTGATCATTTTAACCCATAAGTTATGTGCAAAGTAGCCATTTTTATCCTAGAAGAATCAAATTTACTACTTTAGGGGTTAAAGGACTAAGTATGTTATATGTACCACGGGTATAACTAGGACTAAAATTGCAATTTTTCCTAAGAACAATAGAAATAATTTAATAAAAAATTCAAGTTTGTGCACACCTTATCTTCCTTGTAACTTCCATTTGAGGGGAAATGGAGATCAGGCCTAACAAGCAGGGATTGAAACTCATCCAAAGACTGCAATTTTTCCCTATTCTGAACACAATCTCTGGTCCTATTCTGCATTCTGGTCAACACATTATGCCAAGTATTCACTCTTGAACGCCCGGTACTGGGCAATCCAACATTCATTTCTGCTAAGTCATCTGCTCCCACACTCAGAACCTCCATTGGAGTAGCCCCATCTAGCAGCCATAGCAGGCAAGAAGAGAACCCTTTAGTGATCTCTGAATCACTATCCACTCTGAATCTCATCGACCCTTCATTATCCATCATCGCCTCCAACCAAACCTGGGCCGTGCAACCCGCGACCCGGTTTTCCCTGACCCGAATCGACTCATCGAAGGGCGGCAGAAGAGTCGCGTAGTGCAGCAATCTTTTCACCTTATCTATCGGTTCCAGTAAAGACTTGAACTCCGAAGACAAGAACCGAACTTTATCGCCCACATTGAGGATTTCAAGAGGGATTTCGTTCGGGGCAAAACTGGGTATAAATAAAGGGTTTGAATCCGGGTTTCTTGACTTGAATTTACCGGGTCTTTTCGCACTTTCCAGGCGAGATGCCCGAAAGGCCGGAGCTTTTCCATGGAAACGACGACTTTCAGGCCTGGTATCAATGGGGTCTGAAGCAATTCTCAGGGCGGAGGAGAAAGATGGATGTGAAGTAGGTTTGAAGGTGAGACAGTACATGTTTGGAGGAAGAGGGCGGGTAATTCAAGCTAAAAAGGGAGAGAGAAAAAATCGTGGGGGGTTAGGTGACCGTTGGGAGGTGGGAGAGTTAGTTGACGACGCGTGTGCGGTAGCGGAAGAGTCGTCGAACGGCGTGGCGAGTCCGCCGGAAAAGAGAGGGAGATAATACGCAGCAAAGAGGGTGAAGTAGGTGAGCCTTTTATAGTTACCAAAGCGGTTGTGAATGTTAACCAACAATACTAAGGCGCCAAAGTGGAAGATTCTAACTATATTTGGTGGGCCAATATCTCCATATTAGTTACTCCCTCCGTCCAGAAATGGTTGTCTCATTTGCTTTTTACACGTTTTTTAAGGAATTAAAGTAAATGCTATGTCATTTTCCAATTATGCCCTTCACTTTTCTTACTTTTGGAAATAAAAGCAAAAGTCATAAGGGTAAATTGGAAAAGTAGAATGATGTTGATGTTCAATTTTGGAAAGAGGACAACATTTTGGGACAAACTAAAAAGGAAAGTAAGACATGAAAAATGGGACGGAGGGAGTATTAATTTATTATCAATAACTTTTTTTTTTATCACGTTTGGTGTACAATTTTGTTAATTTTTTTCTTTTACCATATCAGTGGTTTTTACCAAAATTTTTATTATAAAATAAAATAAAATAAATCACATTTCTAGTTCATAATAAATACATTATCTCTTAGACGGTGAAAACATATACTTTTGAATTACAAATGTAACACACTTTTATAGTTTTTCATAAAAATGTTGCAATAAAATGATGAAAGTCATATACCCTTAATTTACGTAAAAGTCTATTGTTATTACTCGGAAGGGTGCTCTAGGAAAACCTACTTTTGTAACCTTTATTACGTTTACAAACGATCACAAGGAAGTAAATTAACTAAACTCAACCAATCAATGAAATTCATATTTTTGTAATTTCTTTCCACTAACCAAACAATGATTCTGATTTTTTTTTTTTCATGAAATTTCAATTCCATTCTTTCTCAAATATTTTCTGCAAACCAAACAGGCCGTAAAATATAGTTATATACTATATACAAATATAAAATTTATTTTATAAAAAATTAAAAAAAATACATTTTTAGGTATCGTATGATTCAGCACAAGGCCGACGCTCCACGACAAAGATGAAATGGAAACACTCTTATGTTTCACTACTAATTATTATATACAATTATTTAACGTTTCCAACTGGTCAATATTGGTGTTGTAAATCACAATCCAAATACCAAATTGTTTGTGTCGTGCAATCATAAACCTTATATTGCGTCACTGCATACAATATCAAGGCGGTTTAATCAAATTGGGATAGATAGTGACCTATTATTACTTAAAAGAATATTTTCATATTTTTTATTTATGATGAGAAAAATTTACAATCATTATTTAATAATGCTTTTTTTTTTGGGTATATCCGGGATTTTCACAGTGATTAATCTTTGGATGGGACAACTGGCCTGGAAATGTAAGGCTGCTCCATTCCTAAACCCAAAGCAAGGATCGAATTCTTGGCCTCTGGTTAAGGATGGATGAGTCCCTTCCACTCAACCACACCCTCCAGGTTAATAATACTCATTAGATAAACTATATTTTTATCTAATAATTTACAAATTAGAGTCGAGAGGTAAATCATACCAGAAAGACTATGTACAACGAGGTAGACTGAGAAGAACTGATGATAGATGTAAAAAAATTATTATTATTTCAATTCTTGAGACAGTTCTTAGTATACAAAATCCATACTCCAATCATCACGTACATTTCTAATACAAGCAACCATCTTGTAAGGTTGCAGGGTTTATCTTGTTCATCATCATCAATGGCAGTTTAGTACAAACAAAGCAGATCCATGTGGTTGTACAGTTATGGATAATACCTTTACTGGTCCAAAGCTTTTTCCAGACCACAATTCTCTTCCTGAGCACTTTGGATCACGCAAGTTTCTTTCAGGGAGCGCCTTGGCTACGTCTGATGCGGTTGTTGAGATCACGGATGTCGCTTTGTTCAGATTGAAGAAGGCGAGATATATCTCTCCTGGATAACGAAGCCATGCTACTTGTTAGGTTATTCAATTCCCGGGTGGAGTTTAGAGGTCTGTGTAGAAAAATGGGTTCAGAGATCAGAGATCAAAGATCAAACCTTTCCTCCCGCTTGCAATCCATGCGCGACTTCCTACAGGTGTAGCTGCACGGGAAGATCAATTGGCGAATGCGTTTGTGAGCAACAATATAGCGGTTAAGAGAGTAGTAATGGAGCCAAAGATGTCACCTTTAACAGAATCCAATGAAGCACATAGACCCGAGTAATTGTTTATGAGGGTTCCGTTGCGTTTCAATTCCCACATCTGTTTGTGGTACGACAATTCAGATATCTATGAATATGGGAATAAACGATGCAGACGAGGATACCTTTCTGAGAATTCAAATTATAAATAAATGCGTAAAATCTTTAGTCTGTACCTGGTAGGCTTCCCATCTGCAGTTTGAGAATGAACCTTTGCTAGCTTCAGCAGAAGTAAGCTTTCGATTTGGAGCAGCAGTAAGGCAAGAATCTTTACTCTCCGCCTCCAGTAAATGCAGTTTCCCATAACTTTGGCTCTTATTTCTCGTTTCTTGATGCCTATGTTAATATCCTTTGTAAGTTACGATAAAAGGATTCAACGAAACAACAACAGATCATGGGAAGGCTTAGTGTAATTATGGACTTACGGTTCAAAAAGTGGTCTTTTCTTGTACAGACAAAACGGTGCCTGATGTTTGGTTGTTTTCCCTTTCCAACAAATTTGCTCGAGATCATCCTCAACAAGTTCATGAGACCAACCTTTTGCTTTCGTGTCTTTGCAGCTTCTGAGAGCTAAAACCTGGGCATCCAAGGTAGTACCAGTACATTTTTCACTTTCGTGGGTGTGGGATAGTGTATGCCTTCTGAGTCGAGAACATTGTGTGCCAGTTACGTGTGGGAACTGCATTAAATTTTAGAGTCTTCGTGTCAATCTCGATTCCTGAATACTCGAAACAAATTCACTTTTGACTTGCCTCTTTATTGTTTGAGCTAAACCAGTTTATCTCCAGTAAAGTTGGATTTGTAATGAGTGCAAGGTCCCCAACACTAATACGTCTCATGTCACCTCCATACATAATCGGAGACTTGGCCATGGACCACAAAGTCATCTGCAAAGACAACATAATCCCATTGAGTACAAAACGGTTAAACTGTCTATATTACGTCCAAAAACATTTGCAGTACTCTAATTACCTGCGTTTCTTTTTCAGTCTGAGTTAGATTAGAGTATCTGTGTGGACCTTCATTTGATCCTGTATAATATTCTCTTTCTAATTAGTTTACCCGAACCGATGAACAAACATGCATATATTTGGCAGTATGGCTGTTAAAATTGCACATCAGAACTTTTTAACTGTTGAAAAATAAAGAGTTAGGTTTATCTATAGGGTGTGTCTGTTTATGAATAGGTGTTAGTTATATGTAGTTACTTACAGTTATGTATTTGAATATATATATATATATATATATATATATATATATATATATATATATATATATATATATATATATATATATATATATGTACTATGTTTCTTTGTTAGAAATACAGATAATACTAATATATTTCAGTCTTATATGCACTTTCTATTCCTTGATTCTTCATCATTGCTTCCGCCTAACTGGCGGGTGGTGTTGAATAGTGAAACGGTGCAGAAGTTAGTAAAATCAAAATTGACTGGAATTAGAGAATTGTGATAAAAAGTCCTTGGAGAATTCCTAGTTGAGATTGCAATTGAAATGGTGAATTATCCTCACCGGGATCTGTGAGCCAGCCGAAAGGTAGCATATCTAAGTCGGGCCATGACTTCCCTTGCAGGCCCCCGGTTCCTATCAAACCAGCAGCAGCCATGTCCCTGAGGTGGACAAACGGGAGAAAGTAAGATGTGTGAAATTACAGCAATAGGCGATAACAGAAGTTGTAAAACAAACTCGAGTCACTATGTTTATCAAGTAATTTAAACATTGGAGCCCGGAGGACAAAGTATTTTTACAGCAAATTTAGGGATAATAAGAGATCTAAGCACCCAACCTTGCAACATTAAAGTGTGAAGCAACATCTTCCCAGGTATCCCAGTCATCCCCGGTTACCCGGTACATGTTGACGAGACTACTGACTTCCTTTGCCAATGCTGGTGTCGCGTCAACTCCGGGAGACAGAGAATATGTTATGGAACGATTAAGCTCCTTCAGTACCTGCATATGTGGACTTCATACCGTTATCTTTGGTTCAATGCTCCCATAACTGAATACATGGAACTTTGAGGAAGTTTAAGGTTTACCTACCTCTGAAACTACAGTTATCTCATCCAAATCCAAATCAGAGCCGAAAACACAGTCATGTTTCACTGCAAAGAAGACCAAAACACTGGAAAGTTAGTGACGAGGGAAACCCGCAGCCATTACTGGGTAAACCCCGCCTTGTGACCCTAGCCAGCAAAGGACCACAAGGAGGTAAACCAGCTTAGGTTGCCCATAACTGACTGACTCAAACCAAGAAAGCCAATAGACTGTTCCCGTTGGGATTCAAACTTGTAACCGTGTGATTCACCAGTCTGACCAACTTGGCTGGGGTTGTCCTAGCAAATGATTAATTTGATTCCTTTACCAAAATCGACACCCCAGTCAGCATACTGTTGATAGAGCGACCTAAGAAATGCCCTTCCGGCTCCAGTTTTGGTATTCACGCTCATGAAACCATTCTTCATCCACGCACAGGCCCTCTCCTTAATTCCTACATCACTTGCATACCACTGCCTGCCGCCTTCTTCATAAGCTTTGCCCTGTTGAACAAATCCATACAAGAATTACAGAAACGTCAGCAAGTCTTCAATAGCCCCCTTCCTATTAAAACTAATCGCATTAATGAGTAATGAGCAATACCGTTTTAACATCCAGGATTGGGGTATGACCATTGACTGCCTGCGTACTAACACCTCTCATGAGGTGAATCCCGAATTTCAAACCCATGCTATGAACTTTAGCAGCAACGTCAGTGAATCCTCTACCACCCGCAGACGAAGGCCATCTACCCGGGTCTGGTTGCATTCTTCCCCATTCATCGATTACATCAAATCCAAGAGAATCAGTGTAGGCACCCTCTACTTTTTTTCTATACCACAGAAAATCCACCACAACATACTGCATAGATTCACAAAGTAGAAGGAATTTAACAGGTAAAATAGGGAAACATGTTTTTTGGGATCATCCCAGTGCTCACAATGAACATAAAAGGCATCAAAACCAATACATTGGATCTAATAAAAGATGCCATCGTATACAAATGTTCCTAGTACCTCATAACCTTTAGATTTTAACCGCTGAGCAACAAGTTCTACATTTTGAAGGAACTGTTCCTCGGTGATGACCCAAGAAAACGAGTCATAGGAATTCCAACCCCTTGGTGGTAAGTTAGCATGCCCTGTTTCATCTTTAGGCTGAGCTTCTGAATTTATCCTGAAATCGTGATCTAAAAATCTTACCAATTCGTGGCAATAACAAAGCTTAAAGCAAATAATTTTGAACAATTAATCCAACATATCAGATAAACCATATAACAACACCAATAAGTTCTATAAATTAAGTAAAACAGTAAAACATCATATATATCCAGCATTTCAGGCAGCACATATCAGCTAAGGTTTGTTTCAATTGAGATTGGAGATTTTTAAAGAGAAATAATACACTCCATAAATTACAAATTTCTTGCTTAAACAACCACTGATATGACAGTCAATAGAAGCCAATGCAAATCCATGCCCTAAGCTAAAAAAATCAAACTTTTTTACCAAATTAAAGCAAGAAAGGACAAAACTACACAATAAAAAATAAAGAACAAAATAACAATACAAATTATGAAAATTTACAAACTGGGTATCCATTATCATCCGTAACTAATCAACAAGAATACAGTTCCCAATTCAAGAAATCAAAAAAACATAAACAATAATACAGCATTTCAGAGGATGAAGAGTACCCATGAAGCCCAGAAAGACTGAAGAAGAAGACAAAGAGGCAGCTGATCGAGCTCAAAACAACAGCTTTCATAGTCATTCAAGAGAATGAAGCAAGGAAAGATCAGTGGGTGTGGTAATATATATACATAGGAGTAGTAGTACAGTGTACAGTGACTCAGTGAGTATCTGGAAGATTAGGTTTATCTTGAATTTGGGATTCAAAAGAAGATTGATTTCGTTAATTACTCCTCACTAAGATAAGCTCGGGAGTTAGCTATATGATGTCGGCAAATATTTTCTGTTTTTAATTTGTCTGTGTAGCGATAAATGAGCTCTTAGCAGTTGAACTCTGGTATCATTTATCTATACTAGTTATATATATACCATGAATAAAATTTACTTAATAAATTAAAAAAAAATACTCCGTAAAATATATGGTTAAAACTTAAAATAAATGTAAAATTGTAGATAGTATTATAAGATGACTTTCAGGGAAACGATTGATTCATTAAATATTAAATTACTGAAAATATACCAAGACTATATGGTTTAATGGTACTTGGGTTGGACTTCTATTTGGAAGGTTGTGAATTTGAGCCCCAGTGGAGGTGTTATTGGCTCTTTGTGTTTCAATAATTGAGAAAGTATATGAACAGATATTACATTGTAATAGAGTCAGTAACATTCAAAAAAAAAATATTTTCATGGTTTAAGATTTTATTTATTTATTTTAATATCATTAATATATTTTTGTGTATTTTAATAAATTTTGCAAGACACTTATGTATGAATAACAATTTTATTACAAAGAAGAAAAAAAAATTGAACATTTTTAATATCATTTAGACATATTTATTAACAGAGACATGAAAAATGATCATGCCACAATAATAATAATAATAATAGGACTAACAGGGGTATTTTGAAAAAAATGACTTAAAGTAAAATAACAGATATAAATTTAGGATAAAAAAGAAAGAAAACTTAACACTTAAAATTAGATAACTCACCAAGATTATATGGTCTAATGGTATTCGAGTTGGATTTTTATTTGGAAGGTTGTGAATTCGAGACTTAATGAAGGCGTTATTGATTTTTGTGTAGCATTCAAAAAAAAAAAAGAATTGAATAAACTCATATATTTAATGTCACTTAAACAATTTTATTGACAGATGATAAAATGCTTATATCACAATAATACTAGTATCAAAGAAGTATATTTTGAAAAAAAAAAAAAAAAAGAATAAAAATGAACTGGGCAAAAAATAAAATTAATTTGGTAAAAATATCAGAAAATGAATACAGCCTGGGGGTGGGTTCCCCACTCTGATGCATCTGTTTAGATTTGCGTGCCTTTGATGTCACACGTTATCTAATTGTGTTTTTCAATGTATTTTTATAGACGACAAGAATAAGATTATTTAAATGTGTACTTTTTGTTGTATTTTTAGACTTCAAAAAAATGTATTTACGCCAAAAAAATCAAATGCAAGAGTAAAAGTTATATATAGAAGAGTATTTACATAGCCATTATTGCGAAAATATATTGCTGTATTTGCAGGAAAAAATTTTGTAAAAAAATTGCTTATGAAAAAATTACTCAAAATTTTTTCTTGGAGTTGTTCTTAAAAAACTTATATTTGTAAAATTAATTATTTTTATATCTTTTATTTTCTTACTCCGTCATTGCTAATCAAATTTTTTGATAAATACCTTTCAAATTTAATTATTGGTGATACTCTTATTAAGGTTATAAGTAGTAATTACAAATATATTTGTTTGTTTTTATTTATTTTCTCATTTTTAGTTATTTATTTACACACAAATCACGTGGATTGTTTGTTAAGGAAGAGACAAGAAAATCTTGGAGAAAAATTATGGTCATTGTACCTTTATCTTAATGGATAACAGAAGTCTTCATCGGATATTCGACAGCGACTAAAGAAACGTCACCGGACACTCAGACCACCGACACGCACAGTATAACCCCTACAGGATACGTAAATGGCCTCCCCTACACGCACTCATGCCGGAGCTCCGATCCGCCACTGACCACTGTAGCTCTGTGGGAAACCGAGCTGCGGCGGCGTCTTCCGTGAACAGTTTCTCCGCCGTCGTCGATGGCTACCGTGGCCGCCACCGAGAACGCCTCCGTTGCTTCTGTATCGACGACAAGTCGGGGTCTCACCTTCGCAAATACAAGATGATTGTGTCGTTTTTACTCCTTTTCGTAATGATTTCAGCGTTTTCAGTTTTCAACCGATTTGTAAGCTCTCCCTTGAGGTTATATTTATCTTCATATATAATAATGCGGTTTATTTTCTTGTCTGATTTGTACGCTATTATTTAAGAGTAGACTTTATCCCATACTCATTTTTGGGTAGTGATTGTGGGTGCAGTCTTCCGCAACTCATAAAAAGTTTTTTTATGAGCAACTTCAATTTAGTCAGATTGGTAGGACGGTTATCTTGGTAACCACGATGTTATAAGCTCGATTCTTCGCGGGAGCACCTATTGCTTTTCTTAGTTTGAGCCAGTATGTTGTGACTTGTTAATTGTAAGTGTATATGCATGCATGTAATTATTTTGTTGTTTTCCCTGTAGAATAATACACCCTATTTATGCAACAAGGAGGGCATAACTCTTCATTGTCCTTGGGTAACTTCAATTCTTTCTCAAACTCATCAATACATTAAACTAACAACTAACCATTTTTACTATGTTAACTCTAGCTTTCACATACTAGGTTAAGGAGCCTCCTTCCTTATGGGAGAATCCTTATTCTGCCACAACTTCATGGAAGGCTTGTGCTGAACGACGTGAGGGCATAACTTCATCAGGTACTATATATATATGACGGGTTCCGGGGCGGCGCCACGTACCCGCCCCGGACGGGGCCTCGCCACGTGGCCCCGCACGGGCCACGTCGGAGGCCGGGCCGACCTCCAAATGGGCTCGGCCCGAGCCCATGACGGGCTCGGCCTGGCCCCACAGCACGGCCCGGTCGCGAGACCAGGCGCGGTCAACTCAGATCTAACCACCCCCGCTTTAGGGGGTGGCGGTTAGGGGCGGGGTTGTATAAAAACCCCCCACCTTGTCTAGTTAGGACACGATCTACATTTTCTATATACTTTGTCCTAAAATACTATTGTAATAGCCAATTCTATGGCATTTAATACAACCTACGGTCTCACGGCCTTTACTATATCATTCGTATCATTTATTTACTATTCGTATTCTTATTCGGGTTAGTTAAGTCGGACCCCCGGTTTAATTAATTCCATCAATATACATATATGTGATAATTGATGTTAGGCGGGGTTGTATAATTGTTAGATTGCATGTATATATTATTAGTAAATTTATATTTTATAAACTGAAAATTAACAACTTTGAAAAAAAAAATTAATATATACAAGATACAAGCTACAAGGTATACATTTTAAACTACTACGAGTGTGTTTGGTTGGTGGGTTTTGTCCATAGGAATGGGTATGAAAGTGATTGTTGTTGTTTGGTTGATAGGTTTTTAGAATACTACCATGGGTTTCGAATACCACATCAATTGTCAAACCCATACCCAAATAAAATAAGGGTTTCATTCTCTTATTCATTCTCAAGCACTACTATTGGTAACCATTCCCATTCCACCATACTACCAAACATGTTAAATACTTTCACCAAAACCCATTACCATTACCAAGTATTTGATACTCATTCCGATTTCGATTCTCATGTGCGAACCAAACACACCCTACATAAAAAAAAATAGTGTAATTCAACAATATAAGTGTAAGGCTCTTCTATGAGTGGTTTTGAGATTAATTCTCCTTGTATGTAATAATAAAATAAATTATATAAATAAACCATATTACATTCATTCATTATTATATTCTTGATTATTTGCAGATCTTCCTTCCGAAAATGAAACAAATGGATACATATATATACATGCTGAGGGTGGTTTAAACCAGCAGAGAATTGCTGTATGTTGTTCCTTTTTGGTTCTTCTTCATGACTGTTTGAAGATGAATGTGTGCTCTCTTTTTTTTTTTTTTTTTTTTTGACGAGAAAAACCTGCAATCATTATAAGGGGCAGGGGTGTGCAAGGGTTGCTACTTGTCTTCTTACTTGGCATGCATGCATGCATGCAGATATGCAATGCTGTTGCAGTGGCAAAGCTAATGAATACTACCCTTATTTTGCCAGTGTTAAAACAAGATCGGATATGGCAAGACCCAACGTAAGTCAATTTTGGCTTAACCTTAAAATGGTTTCGAATAATGGATTCATGCATGTTTTTCTGATCTGGGTTTTTGAAATGATTGCAGTGAATTTGAGGACATATTTGATGTTGATCATTTTATTGACTATTTAAAGGACGACGTGCGAATTGTTCGTGATATACCCAGTAGGTTTTTTACTGACGACAAACCAGAACTGTTCGGAGACATAAGGTTTGGTTTCTTTCATGATGTGTCCCATCTCGACTACTGATGAGCTTTTGTGGTATAGTTAGGGTTTGGGTTTCGGTTTGAGGGTATTCAAAGATTTTGTGTGATGCATGGCAGGCGTACAGTAAAGAACATTCCCAAATATGCTTCAGAACAGTTTTATCTGGATAATGTTTTGCCAAGAATAAAGGAGAAGAAGATAATGATGTTGAAACCGTTTGTTGATCGACTTGGGTATAGATTCTTTAATTTCCTTTTATGATATGATGATGACTATTCGACATGAAACAACCGACCATTGTGTGGGTGTATATATGGTTCAGGTACGATAATGTTCCTCCTGAGATAAACAGGTTGAGGTGCAGGGTGAACTATCATGCTCTCAAATTTCTTCCTGAGATTGAGCAAATGGCTGATCAATTGGTCTCAAGGATGAGAAACCGCAATGGCACTTCAAATCCTTTCATGTAATGTGTCTATATAAGTTCGGGTTAATTCCAGATTTAATCTTCAGACTATATATAACTCATTTCTAATTTTAGTCATTGACTTTTAGAGTTACATATATACCACCCTCAATGTTAACCATTTGCGCTTAATCTGCAGGGCACTACATTTAAGGTTTGAGAAGGGGATGGTGGGCTTATCATTCTGTGATTTCGGGGGAACAAGGTTGGAGAAGACTCTCATGGCTGCATATAGAAAGAATGAATGGCCTGAACGGTTCAAGGTTAGGCCGAGTTTAGACTTTTAATCGAGATAAAATATATCCTTCAATTCTTTATAATCCGAACTTGCACCTGCAGGATGGTTCACATTTGTGGCAATTTGCACTGCAGAAGAGGAAGGAGGGGTGGTGCCCTCTCGAGCCGGGTGAAGTTGCACTTTTGCTTCGAGCAATGGGGTATCCTAAAGAAACCCAAATATATGTTGCTTCTGGAGAGGTGTATGGGGGAGAGAACACCATGGCGCCACTCAGAAACATGTTCCCTAATCTTGTAAGTCGAGACAAATTAAACACACTCTTTAATTCTTCAACTCTGATCGTTCGTTACAAACCTGAACGTTATTATATTGTAACACATACAGGTTAGAAAGGAGGAATTAGCAACAAAAAAGGAGTTGGATGGTATGAGGAAACATATGACAATGTTGGCAGCCCTAGACTTCCTGGTTTGCTTGAAATCAGATGTTTTTGTGATGAGCCATGGAGGGAACTTTGCGAAACTGGTAATAGGGTATAGAAGGTACATGGGTCATACCCAGAAATCTATTAAACCAGACAAGCATCTCATGTCCAAATTCTTAGGTGACCCCTACATGGGATGGGCTACCTTAAAAGATGATGTTGTGATTAGTCACAGGACAAGGACTGGATTGCCTGAACAAACCTTCCCAAACTATGATATATGGGAGAACCCTTTGACCCCTTGCATGTGCAAAGCCACCTGATTCCACAACTTCATACAAAGAAACCTCAATTTCAAAGTGTAAATATAAAAATATATGGGGATATCATTTTTTTTCCTGTTATCACAATATTCAAATACTGTTATGTTACAGCGGATCTGCAGATACTCAACTTGGTAAAGTGGAGAATATATAGCAGAGAGCTTTTAGCAAGGAAATTGGTATAGTTAAAAAGATAGATTATACTAAAAGATTGCTTGCCTTCCATGCTTAACTCAAATCTGATTCTTTGCCCTCCCATCAATCATACTACTCCAAACATGTTCTCATTAACCTCCTCCTTCTTCTTCTTCTTCCCTCTAAGCAAAGCTCCATTTCCAAGCTCTACAAATCAACGATGCCGCAGCAGCAGCGTGACAACAATCCCCATTTTCTTCCGCCGCAGCTCCCGGAAACGCCGGAGCCGCCGCGGCATGGGCCTACGTTCTACCCGCCGCAGTCACGGAGGCCGCGGTCTAAAGTTGCAGTACCTCAGCCACCTCCTCCCCACCGGGATTCCTCGCCGCCGCCGCCGCCGTCTGATCACCGTCCGGGTACATCAGCGGCGCCGCTCCCTGCAAATTTTGTTCCCCAGCAACACCCCCGGTCAAAGCCGCCGGAAGATGATTACATTGACTTAGTTCCTCCACAGCGGCAGCCCCCCAAAGCTCAGCCACCTCCACAGCCGCCGCGACGCAGCGGCCCCCAAGGCCAGCCGCACCACCACCACCACCACCCTCACCTGAGGGTGCCATCAAGAACCAAAACCAATCCCTTAGCATGGCTCATCGCAGCCTGCTGCACCCTCTTCTGGATCCTAGTCATCTTAGCCCTCCTAGCAATCCTCGTAATCTATCTAGTTTTCCGCCCAAGAAACCCCAAATTCGACATTTCCAGCGCCACCCTCAACGCCGCCTACCTCGACATGGGCTACCTCCTCAACGCAGATCTCACCCTGCTCGCAAACTTCACAAACCCAAACAAGAAAGGCAAGGTGGAGTTCCATTACGCAGTCGTGGATCTTTACCATGACAAATCTCCCATTGCATCCACTTATATCCAGCAATTCTCCATGATGAACCATGAATACAAGTTCCAAGATGTGCACTTTGTGACCAGCCAGGTTGGGCTTTCTGCAGATCACAGTCAGAAGCTGAGAACTCAGATTGAGAATGGGAAAGTTAGGTTTGAAGTGAAGGGTCTGTTCAGAGTGAGGTCTGATCTGGGGGGGATTCTCAAGTACTCATATTGGCTCTATAGCCATTGCACAATCATGGTTTCTAGTCCTCCCACTGGGATCTTGATTGCAAAAAGGTGCAGCACAAAGCGTTGAGATTGGAGACGATGAAAATAACGTTAGAACGAGGTTAATTTTGTTTTTAATGTCTCATTAATTGGTTAAGTAGTTTACTGTAACTTTAAACTTCATTGATGAATGGTGCTATTGCATTTGTTTTTTTCCTTGAAAATGTATTTATCCCATTCTGAGGATGGACTATTGTGTAGTGTACCTGAGATGAATAACACATGTAATTCAAACTCTTTGCTCAAAAAGGCACAAAATGTAAAATTCCCTCACCTTCAGGGCTCATTAGGTGAGATGACCAAACGTCTAGTACCCACAAGGAGCCCACCACATTAGATATAACTCTCACACTGCGACTGTCAGTGTTCAATCTTATATGATCTATCACCCAAGAATCAACTGAGCTATGTTGTATGGGGAGATAATTTAAACTCTTCACAGACAGAAAATTGTAGTTTTGTTAACCAAATTTGAGTCATAACAAAAGCCAGGAATTGGAATTTTTAAAAAGTGGAAAACTGGTGATTATTAAGGCAGGCAAAAGTGCAAAACTAATCTCTCTCCTGTGTACCATAAACAGTTGATGAAACTCCAATTACCTGGATAAGGGTTGGGAAATGTATTCTCTATTTTTGTCACACAGCTTTCATTCTCTAAGAGGTTCACACTTAAGAATAGATATACAGAGGAAGGAGGATGGGGTAAGTATGGGGCAAAAGAATTCAGATAAGGGGTTCAGAAAGCTCCATTTCGTTTGAACCATCGCGTTGCGATTCGGTGGGCCTGTTAGTACCTACAAAATCTATGCCTAGCCATTGCCAAGGCCAGCATATGTATCTGGGTCTGGTTAGGCCTGGTCTGGAGGTTTCCCTGGAATCCAACTCTTCGAGCTGGTGAGTGAGCTCTTCCAATCTCTCTCTCAACCTAGTTGCCCTTGAATCTGCCAGTCGCAATGATTTCTCAGCTGCATCTCTCGCGGCCATGGCTGCAGCTGCAGTTTCTTCTTTGAATTTGAGCTTCTTCTCTGACTCTATCACACTCCGTTTCGCTTCTTCAAGCTCCTGGCGTATGGCAGACAACTGCAGGAGTCATAGAACACATTGTTATAACTAATGGAGGACATTGGTGCATACCCACTGAGATTGTGTAACCGAAAGGTCCATGTATTGATTAAGTTCTATGTAGCAGATGTCACGTGTCTTCAGAAGTTCATTATTCATTCCCAAGTAACAAACTAGACGATGTGTCAATGACATAAGAGCTTAGTTACATAAAACATGATATCTCCAATCTATGCAGAAAGGTCTCAATACTCAACAGTTCAAAGCCAGAAAAAGGAACTCCGGCTCATGTTGGCAAAAATATCTGCCACATTTTGAACACCTAATTTTACAGTTAGAATTGCTAAAGCCACCAAATTCTATTGCTGATCCTTCTTGTTGCATATGTGAAGAAATCTTGTTCTATTTTCATTCATAATATTCTATGCAAAGCCAAGAAAAAAGGGGGCGAAGAAAATTAAAAGGACAAACACTGTTGGACCAGTTATCAGTCAATCACGAAATTTAGTTAGAACTTAGAACAAAAAATGGTACTCCGTATTTAATTTTTATTTCAGTTTCCATTTAATCCAAACCTTCATTACTAAGAATTAGGTTGAAATAATAATGTTATCCTGTATTTAATTCTGAGGTCAAGCAGAATTTTACAACAGCATTGACCCATTGACTACTTAAGTTTTAACCATGATAAATTTAAGAAACACTGTTTTTCTATCAAGTAATAATAGTTCAATACCAGAAGGCAGTGCGAGATAAAATAAAAATCCTCAATAAATATTCTCCTTCCACTCTAGCTCTTTCAAACAACATATCACGAGGAACTCTAAAGACCGTGTTGACAAACCTATTAGTTTCCCATGCAATGAATTCAATCAACTATTGATTACTAAGAATTCATTCAAAAGACTCTGTTAACAAAATTTAGGACAGTTCATGCTCATGCTTGCGTTAAGAGTACCTAAAGCTTACGAAATTGTTGATCTTGGGCTTAAGTTACCAGAGATACAATTTATTTAAAAATTGATCTACCAGAGACTCAAAGGTCAAATGCAAGAAGAGGGGTTCAAGAAAGCATCAAGCATACCTGTGCCAGATATTCTTGTTCAACAGATTTCCCAGCTGCAGCTTCTTGCTGAGCTGCTACTTTCCACCTTCTGATTTCTTCTTCAGCAGCAGCAATGTCCAGCATAAGCCCTTCAACCTAGATTACAGCACAAGCATAAGAATATGAACTGGCATCAAGATAATACTATGACTAACGCATTTTCTCAATCTAACATATATAAAAGAAGTCTCCCTATACCACTAACTGCATTGCATGTTAAAGATACATACAGTGAAGGTAAACTTACATTTTCTTTTGCGACCCTCTCTTTCTCCTCAAGCTCCTCTACCTGTTGCTTCCATTGGCTCAGTTCCTTTGCTTGAGCATCCACATGTTCCTTAAGTAAACTTGACTCCGCCCTTGATTTAGCAAAGCAAAATGAAAAACAATAACCTTCAGTTGGCCTTGGTCTAAGAAAAAATACACATAGATTTGATGCTTCCAAGTCGAGAAGAATGTACAAACAAGTTCAAATAAGCATTAGAAAAATATTACTTAGCTAAAGCAGTAACCATATCTATAGGCAAGCAAAGAAAACAAATTTTGATAAAATTTGCCACCATTACCAGAATTCCCATCTGTCATTGTCATAACATTTTATTCACAGAACCCAAAAAAAGGGGTAACAGGGCATGACAAAAGATATAGTGTGGCTCAGATATGCATTTAATGCAAAAATGCTCAAGGTCATATTCCTTATCTCTTGGACAAAGCAAATACCAGTAACATCAGACTTTCTGATAGTCTTATTAGAATGATATAATTAGCCTATATCTTGGTCCTTAATTTCTTACTACTGCAATCCTTTACATCATTCAAAGTTAGAAAGATTTCTGGAGAGTGGAGATATTCATGATAGAATCCACACAGACCTCACAGCATTATGGGGTTTACTCTTTAATCATATAGCATCAGGCCAATACAACCAAAGATGAACAGAAGGTACCTTTGCTCTTCCAGTGAATGTTTAAGCTCAATGATCTCAAGCTGAGACTGCTTGATAATGTTCTCTAAAGTGCCAGCCTGTCTTGAAAAATGATGAATGAGAAACAGAGTGAGGATTTTCCCTTTAAATAAGACCAGCAATAACTTACCAAAGCATATACTTCATCTTCTTCTGTGTCTGAAGCCTGCAATTTATCATCCAAAGCTGGAGATTTATGCTCCCCAAGGTTATTATTGAACCTATAATTTATCCCAGCCTCTTTCAATCCATTTTCTGCTATTTTAAACAGCTCATTTGTTTTGGATGACAAATCCACTGATGCCCTTCTTGACAAAGCACTTCGTAATAAAGACCCAATTTGTTCTTTCTCCTGCATCAGCTGCGAAACCCATTCTTTAAGGCCTTTCACTTCACGATTCTTCTCCTCCATCAGATCCCTTGTTTTTTCAAAACCAATTTGACTTAAATCATATATGGACTCCAATCCTGCCAAAGATGCTCTCATATTCTCCTCAACGTCCATTTCTAGAGCAAGAAACAAGGAATCTGATAATTCAGATGACTTTGTAACATCCACTACCTTTATTACATTGCAAACCTGTTTGTGTATTTTTGATACATAATTCAATTGGTCAGTCAGTAAAGATCTTAGTGACTCCAACTTCAACTCCAAACTGCTCATTTTACCTTCAGACTCACTCAGCATCTGCCTCAACCCTATCAATTCACTTTCCATGGCATTTTGCTTATCAAGCATCTCCCTTTCGTACTCTGAAAAGCTCTTATCTTTATCAGCCAGCGACTTCCGCAGATCCTCAACAAGGGAATCTTTCTTTAAAATCTCCTCTCTCAAACCACTAATTGTTGCTTCAAGTTGTGAAATCTCAATAGCAATCTGGTAATTCCTCTGATCCATCTGTTCCCGAGCCTCGTTCCTAGACTTGGTAGTTGAGTCAATCTGCCTCAACATTTCTTCCACTATATCATTTGTCCTTTTGATCACCCCATAAGCCACTGCTGGCAAGCCTGTATATTTCTGAGACCTAGGCAATCCACCGGCGGTAAAATTCTTAAAATGACTCACTTTCCCGGATATTTTATCAATCCCACTCACCAACATCGAAGCTGCAGTCTCGACTTCCACCCTCTTCGATTCTTTCACTTTCATCACTTCTTCAAATTCTTTTTGCAACTCTTCGTTCTGCTTCGAAAGTTCATCTTTCTCCTTAACCGCCCCACTAAGCTCGGTCGATACCTTATCAACCTTCACCAAAGCCTCTTCCTTCTCGCGCAAGGCCTGATCCCGCTGCTTCGACGACTCATCGCGCTTCCTAATAGCCTCGTGAGCTAGGACTTTCAATCGGTTGAGGGAGACTTCCAATTGGGATTTGGAATTCTCCGCGGCGATGCGCGCTTGCCTCTCGCGATCGAGCTCGGCAAGGACCTCCCGGAATTTCTCCAGGGATACGTCTTCCGGGGACGGAGTCTCAACATCGATCGCCGCAGGCTCGTCGGCCTCGACATCGCTCAGAACGGCGTCGTTTTCCTCTTCCCCGGCGTTCGCCATTCATACATATCAATTATATATCCAAACAATACAAAAAATTTTCTATAACTAATCAGTCGTAGTGTGCTTCATTAATCATTAAACCTAAAATGAACCGCGAATTAAAAGCGTGCTAAACAAGCAAGCAAACAAGCGAATTCATGAACCCTAAGATTTGGTATGTGATTGCCGGCCGAAACCCTAAGATTTGGTATGGGGGAGGACTTGAGTCAACCGATGACGGTGTTGATGACTTTAATTTCGTCTCAACCGGAGGGATTTTATGGTAATTTAGTCAATCTCATGAACACCACGGGGAGAGAGAGAGAGAGAGAGTGGAGGGAAGAAGACGAAAGATTGCCGGAAACTGCAATTTCGTCTGCCGGAAGGAAAATTATAAACTATAATGTGAATTTTGGTGCGTTTCGCCGTTACGGCGTTATATTCCCATGTTTTTTAAAAAATTATTTTGGGGATAATAATCTTCAGAAAAAGCAACTTATTGAACTTCTAGCACGTTTGATTCACGGAATGAATTTGAAAGAAATAAAAATGTTATTCCACATGGAATTGAATAGATAACGAATAATATAATATAAATTGTATTATATTGTTTGTTTCGCTAAAGGAATACACTTTAGTAATTATATTCCAGTGTTTAGTTGTTTAAAGGAATATAAATGAAATAAACTTTAAAAACATAAATACTCTTATGCAAAATAATAATAATAATAATAATTATTATTATTATTATTATTACTCCATATTTATTATAATAAAAACACATATTTATATTTATATTTGTTTCATCACTTATTCTACATTGATCGGAAAAGTGGGGAATGGAGCCTCCCTACATTGATCGGAGAAGTGGGGAATGGAGCCTTGAGGCTCCTATAAAAGGAGCCTCAAAGTTCCATAATATCAATTGTAATGTCCATTCGCTTGCCAAGCGGATGGGCAGACTGCTTAATTTAAGAGCCTTATAAAGTTAATATTATATATATATATATATATATATATATATATATATATATATATAATTTATTGATGGATAAAAATTATAATTAATTAAATATATACATTTATATAATATATTATATTTATTAAATACGAGGTATAAATATTAAATAATGTGCAAATGGTATTTTTAGTATTTATGATATAAAAGTTATTCTCAATGACATGAGAATAGCTAATACCAAGACCCCTTAGGAATGATTATTCTCATTGCAAAGGTAATAGCTCATTCCTGGAAATGTTATTCCCATAACAAAAAGATTCAACCAAATAATGGAATAGGTATATTTCAAGGAATATTATTCCATTATTGACCTATTTCATGAACCAAACATGTCATTCTAGTTTGAACACTAATATTTTATCAATGTTGGACTTTATGAAATTAAATAAAAAATATTAAATAAAGATATTAGAATGTACAATATAATAATATAGACATATAATTATACGTTTATATATTCAATTAAATGTCTATTTTCATAGTATACAAAATAGTATATAGTTAATATAATCTCTATTCTCTAACCATGTACATATTTAGATAAATTTATAACAAAAATTTATATCATTAAATTGATTTATTCCTAATTCTATTTCATATATATTATAATTCTAATAGTATAAATAACAACTAAGAATATTATACATAGAAATCTTTAAAAAAATGTAAATTTTAAATTTTATAGGAGTAAATTTAAACTCTAATTGGACGCGTTGTCTTATATGATTATATAATATATTATTGTATATACAAACAAATTTATTAACAATAACAATTGATGGGGTTGTCCTTAGCCCCTTACTCACGAGCTAGTAGTCTAAGAGCAACCTTAACCGTTGAGATTTTTTTATTTCTCAACTTTTGTAGGCTCCAACATCCACATCAACATCTATTATCTAATCCAATATCAAAAACTCTTTTTTTTTTTTTTTTCCAACAGTTTGAGGTTTTTCAAAATTTGTTATAAACTCACTAATATATATTAACTATATTTTAATTATTTTAAATTATAATTAAATCATATACAATTTAATTAAATTAATAATTATTAAAATTTAAAAAGAATATTATTAAAATTATACATACATACAAAATTTATGTTACATGTTTTTTTTTTTTTTTTGTAATAAGAAAAAGATTAAAACAAAAATAAAAATGTTATTTAAATTAAAAAAAAAAAAACAATTTAGTGTGTGTGTGTGTAAATATATATATATATATATATATATATATATATATATATATATATATATATATATATATAAATATAAAGATTCAAAGTGGTTGCTAGGTGGCCACTCTGAAGTGTTCACCGAATCACCAGGTAAGGTAACGCTACAAATGTGCATCTCTTTCTTTGGTGTTTTTTTTTTTTTTTTTTTTTTTTCCTCTTCTGTCAAAAACATCAATTAGGAGAAAAAAAAATTAGCAAAAATTCATCTCTGATTCCCATCAGTCAAGATCTACCTAACCAATTTTTTTTGCTATTAAAGCAATAAAAAATTCAGAAGTACAATATTTTATTTCAATGTACGATGTTTCTGAACAGCCTTTAACCTACGTATAGTATTCATGCTAATAATTAACAATTCTAATATCTAAAAAAGTATTGAATATATATTACATTGTAATAGAGTCAATAATACTAAAAAACAAAACAAAACAAAAAAAAAAAAAAAAAAAAAAAAAAAAAAAACAATCCTAGTATCTGGCATAGGTTTATAGTTATTGTCCCTTGTGGTTTGGGTACGGTCTGTATTCATGAAATACACTCAACATCCTAGCATTTAATTTATTATATATATATATATATATATATATATATATATATATATATATATATATATATATATATATATATATATATATATGACGCACTCAGGTGCGAATAAGTGCCCAGAAAGGAAATGCGAACGAATCAGCGCGTGACACGTGTCCAGATCTAATAACTTAAAAAAAATGCGGTGGCATTTTCGTAAATAATTGAACATCGAAGTGCAAGTAAAATATCTTATAAGTGCACCTATTTTTACCTATAAATGCATGTAATTTTGCCTTGTTAGCATTCACTTTCCGCAACCATTCATGCACCTGGGTGTGCTTATAACTATATGTGCAACGATTTATAACTATAGGTGCAACTACTTACAACTATATGTGCACATACTTTCACCTATAAGTGCATGTAATTTTGTCTTGTTAACATTCATTGATCTGAGTTCAGCGGGTAGTAATACTCCTAAAAACCACTCGCAAACATTCATACACCTAGATGCAACTACTTATACCTATGTGTGCAACTACTTAGAACTATAGGTGCAACTACTTAGAACTATAAGTGCAACTAAGTATTGATGCTCAGTGTAAATTTTTACTTGCACCTATAATACATTTTACATGCACTTGTAATACATTTTACTTGCACTTCCATGTTCAATTATTTACGAAAATGCCACCGCGTTTTTTTAAAAAATCAGTGTTTCTCATCCATTAGATCTGGACACGTGGACGAACAGAATCCATTCCTATTTCGCGCCTGGGCAAGCCGTTCGCACCTGAGTGCAACTCTATATATATATATATATATATAGCACCCATGTTTGATATATTTTAAACAAAACTATTTATCATTGAGAAAAAAAATCAAATCTTTATGCATTTAATTTATTTATATATTTATATATATAGCAACCATGTTGGGATAAAAATGACATTAGGGTGTATTTGGTTCGCACATGAGAATCAGAATCGGAATGGGTATCAAATACTTGGTAATGATAATAAGTTTTAAGTATGGATTTTTCAATTAAGGGGTATTTGAAACCCATATATAATAGTATTCTAAAACCTATCAATCAAACAATACCAATCACTTTGATACTTATTCCTTAGAGCTAAACCCGTCAACCAAACACACCCTCAGCTTATGTGTCTTTAGCTAACCTATTATATGCATGTTGTTTACAAATTATGTGTTTGCTAATAAATTCAAAACACCTAATAATATATTAACTACATATATATAATATGTTAATCGCATGCATATTAATTATATGCATTTATATTATGCGAGTTAATAAATTATGTATATTTAATTTATGTATAGATAAATAATTTATTAATTGAAACACACATGATATATTAATTATAAATATATAATTTTTGATTAAGACTCACGACACAAAATAGATCCTAGCATATAGTATCACCATTGCCTCGTCACATGACAACGTTGCGGGCAAATTATGCTGTGGATCTGTATGCACCATGCATGGTGCATACAGATCCACACGACGTCGTTTTAGCCTAATGACGCGGGGTTTTATAAAAAAAAAAAAAAAAATTCCGTTAACGGCGTTTACTTCCAAATTCCTTTTGAGTTTGTTTCCAAGTTTCAAACTCGATCGTTGGCAGTTGTTCGCTGTGGTATTGGCATTCGATATCACCGGAATCGCGATCGCAATCTCAATCGCATTCGCAAATCGCAATCGCAAATCGAAATCGGGAATTACAAAGTGATTGATAGATGGAGGATGGAACAGAGCAGACGAATTCCGCAGTTGATGATTGGCATTCGATTCAAGGTGATCTTGTTATTGTTTTTGCAATCGTTCCTTTTGGTTTTTTATATGATTATGTGATTAGCAGTGATGTTTGTGTCTAGAATCTGCAAATAGTTGTGCAAAATCACGTAAGTAATTTCCATAATTGTGTAACAACAATTTCAGAATTTGAAAACAATAATTCCATAATTTCATAACTATATTTCCAGAATTGCATGTCTATATATTCAGAATTAGGGGTACTCTGTTTTGGCAGTTTGTTGCGACTGTGTATCCAGAATTGTATAACTATATTTCCATAATCATATAACTATATATACAGAATCTGTAGACACTCTGTTTTTTCTGTTTGATGAACTGTTTGAATTAATGTTCACCATGTCTATATAATGTAGTTAGTGAAGGCATTGTGGATGGTTCAGTAGATGTTGATGGATCTTCATCAATTACAGGTTTATTCATAGTGGTTTACCTTTTAATTAGCAAATTATGGTTAGGAATTATGTGTTAATGGAAATGGTTATTATTGTGTTATATTTGCAGTTGATCAAGATTTGGTTGGTTTGGTAGTAAGTAATGCTGATGAGGCTTTTGAGGTGTATAACAGTTATGCATATACACTTGGTTTTAGTGTGAGGAAGGGTCATCAACGATACAAGGGATCTTCGAACACAATTCAAATGAAGAAATTTTGTTGTTCTAAGGCTGGTTACAAGGCTAACAGTGGGGTTAAGGCTTATTCCAAAATTGACACAAGGACAGGGTGTGGAGCGTTTGTTCAATTTGACGTGGGTGATGATGGGTTGTGGACAGTTACGAAACACGAGAAAGTGCACAATCACGAGTTATGTGTGTTCAACAAGAGTCATCTACTTCGTTCACATAGGAGTGTCGGAGATAATCAGCTCTTATATTTACAAGGTTTGAAGGACAGTGGTGTTGCATTGGCAGATGGTATTAGGTTCCTAAAACACCAATCGGGGGGGTCCCCTTTAGTTGGTTTCACCAGTAGAGATGCTTATAATTCAATGGCTGCGGATACTGTCAAGCGATTGGATGGAACGGATTCTAACTCTTTAATTGAAATTTTTAGGAGGAGGCAGTCTACCGAGACTGATTTTTTCTTTGATTTTGAACTTGACTTGGATGCAAGGTTGTGCAGTTTTTTTTGGAGGGATGGTCAAATGAGACGAGATTACGAGGTGTTTGGGGACTTGTTAGTGCATGATACGACATATCGCACAAACAAATACGATATGATTTGTGCCCCTTTCGTAGGGATGAATCACCATTGCATGAATGTAATGTTTGGATGCGGGTTTTTGATGAACGAGAGGATAGAATCGTTTGTGTGGTTGTTTAAAGTGTTTTCAAGATCAATGGGTGGCAAGTCTCCACAGACTATTATGACAGATCAATGTGCAGCTATGGCTGCTGCTATATCTAAAGTGTTTCCAACATCACGTCATCGTCTTTGCATATGGCATATCGGTGAGAATTCAAAGAAGCACATCAAGACGTTAAGGAGCAATAAGGATTTCTTGGATATGTTTAACTACGTGTTGAAATACACAGAGACCGAAGCTGAATTTCAATTCTATTGGACAAGGTATGTTAGTAATTAATCGTTTTTATTGCATTACGTTTGTAATTATGGATGTATAGTGCATCAATTATGGATATATAGTATTTCGATTATGGATATATAGCAGTGGTGGTGTCTGGAAATGTAGTATATGGATTATGGATATATAGTATTCCGATTATGGATATATAGTATACCGATTATGGATATATAGCAGTTGAACTTACTGGTGGTGTCTGGAAATGTAGTAGTATGGATTATGGATATATAGTCTATCAATTATGGACATATAGTATTCCAATTATGTATATAGAGCAATAGAAATTCTGAGTATGTGTTAGATGTGGTGATGCTGCTTGTTAATATTCTGCTTCATAATCATTTGGGATTTTGTCTTACCATTTTCAGGTTGGTGACTGACTATAAATGTCACAAGAATACTTGGTTAGAAAAGCTATATGACTGTAGGGAGAAGTGGTGTCCAGCATTTAACAAGGACTATTTTTCTGGGGACATTCTATCATCACAAAGGAGTGAAACTACAAATCATTCGATTTCTAGAAGGTTGTCCAAGACAGCGGGTCTTTGTGATTTCTATTCATCGTTTGTAAGCGTAATTTCTGAATGGAGAAGTAAAGAGAACGGTGAAGACTTTCGGTGTGCTCAAGGGGTACCTGCTATGATGATGGAGCATGTGAAACTTCTTTCACATGCTAGAGAGGTATACACGATTGAGATATATTTTCTGTTTGAGGAACAATTCATGAAAGGCAGTGCGTGTCATCAAGAGATGGTGTTGAATGATGGCCGTCAACAGAAGTATCACGTGTGGCGGCCAGATATAGATATTATAAGGCATGAGGTTAGTTTTAACACAGCCAACTTGGACATTTCTTGTAGTTGCAAGTTGATGTCTGAGTTGGGAATTCTATGTTGTCATTGTATACGCATTCTTCACGTACATTGTGTTTCTAGTATTCCCGACAAATATATACTTAAAAGATGGACTAAAAAGGTTATTGATGGTAGGAATGTCAACATTGATTCTATGGTTTATAATGTTGGTGTTCCTCCATCAATTTGGGTGTTCGATATTAGTAGAAAATTTCAAAGATTAGTTGTGTCTAGTCAAGATAGCAGCGTAGTGAGGAAACTGTGTGACGAGGCTGTTGATGATGTAAAGAAAAAGGTTGAAGCCGAGGTTGGGCATGTGCATATTGAAGAGTGTGGTGTTTCATCTTCAAGTGGTGGTGTTCAAAATCCTTCAAGTCGGAGATTGAAAGGTGAGCGTAACAAAAGGAGGAGTGGTGTTATTGAAAAGAAGTACAGTCTTGCAAGGGGGAGAAGGAGTGCTGCAAATAAAGCTGCATTGAGTACAAAGGGTGCTGTTCAGTCTTTGGTGTTGGAAAACATATCCAAGCTTGCTGGGGATGGATACCTTGTACATCCAAGTTCTTCAAGTTCAGATTTTGTTCAGTTTAGTAAGGGTTTAGATGACAATGTAGGTGTAGATTGAGAAATACAAGTTGTTATCATTGATTTTATGCAATTATACAGTTTTAGTTTTGTAATTCTGGATATGTAGTTTTGCAATTTTGGAACTGTAGTTATGAAATTATGGAATTATAGTTATACAATTATGGAATTGTAGTCATGCAATTATGAAAGGTATGCAATTATGAATTTGTAGTTATGAAATTGTGGTGTTTAGTTATGCAAGTATGGATGTATAGTTTTGCAATTATGGTATTATTGTTACGCAATTATGGAACTATAGTTATGCAATTGTGGAATTGTTTATATACAATTATGGAATTATAATTATGAAATTATGGAATTATAGTTATGCAATTATGGAACTATAGTTTTGCAATTCTGGATTTATAGTAGTCATGCAATTATAGATTTGATACATGAAAACAAAAAAAAAAAAAAAAAAAAGTAAAGAAAAGAAAAGAAGAGAAAAGAGAAAGAGGTGCATAGATCAGATGTAAATTGTTATTTAGCTATTAACATCATGCATCTACATTCACAAAATACAAGTCACATTGTCAATGTAGTTCACAAAAACTTTCTAATTGTTTAGAATTCAGTCAACATGTTGAAGAATATTCATTCAATTCTTCTTCGAAACTCTTTTGGCCGCTTGCAGAACCTCCCCCCTGACTTCATTCATTCTCCACTTTATGAGGTTCGCAGCATATTTCGCTCGCAATTCACACATGAAGCTTGCCTATAAACAAATAACATTAAGTAATTAGTCATTCGCAGTTTTATTTATTTTTTAATGTATTTTGAAACTATAATATGTATGGTAGTCTTACATTCAAGCGCATATTTTTCTTGAATCCTGGCTGCCAGTCTTGTAGAGTCCCTCGGAATGTCTCTATATGACGGAGTACATAGATCCCGCAATCAGTGACGTTTTCAGTGTTTGCCCAGTCCAACTTAAGGTACTTTATATCAACTTTTTGCAATTTCACATACAAGGAGTGGCACTCGGCCTTAAGGTAACCACTGAATGCTTCAATCTGGTCAGAAAAGTTAGTTTAGTGTTGATAATGCTTTTATGTCAATAGATAGGTAATGGTAAGAATGTCAAGTTTTTTTTTATCAAAATTACCAATAAGTGTGGGCAGTTGCCATATTTGTCCTTCTCCGAAACACCAGCTGGTAACTCCTTGTTGTCAATGACCTGTACTTTATGTTCTTTCACATTGAAGCAGACCAAGAAGTAGTGACCATGGCGATGAACTGCGAAGAATATCTAATTCCAATTCAAAGTTAAAGCAATGTTAGTATTTTTTTGGATATGATAAAGTCAAATTGGACATGGGTAATAGAACTTACCAGATCTGCATCACTGATGTCTAGGTTCCCGAAGCTGGTTATTTCATAGCTCAATCTCTCATTGAAATTCTTCATTTTTATGTGAGTTGGGAGATCCTTCATCCACTGATCATTGGGATCAATTTGAAGCTGCACATACAAATGCAGGAATGGGTAGTCATAATCCAAATAATATTTGTTGAAAATGTTAAAGTTATACATACAGAGTTATATATATATACATTTCCAGAATTGTACAACTATAGTTCCATAATTGGATAACTATAATTCCATAATTTCATATCAATAATTCCATAATTGTATATAACCAATTCCATAATTGCATAAGTATAGTTCTATAATTGCATAACTATAATTCCAGAATTACAAAATTATAAAACCAGGGGTTCACAGGTACACATCCAGAACTGAATAACTACATATCCATAATCTAAAAACTATATATTCATAATTTGTGAACACTTACATGTACTAGGGTGGAGAAGTAGACCCGCTTTGTCTCCCCAACCGCACGGGGCATGTTCAGCAATGTAAAACGTAGGGACCAGACATCTAGGAAGCTGCTCAGTAGCTCACCGTTGCACATAGTTGCAAAATCATCCCTTGTGAAGTAGTAATCACCATATTTGAACAATGTCTCTCTACAATACAGTAAATAAATAAATATAAGAACATAAATTAATGAATAAAATTTAAGTAAAATTGGTGGATGGAAACATACCCTCCCGGGTGCTCACTTGAGGCTTCCAAAAATGCGTAGTTTGAAAAAACCTTTTCTTTGGGAGTTGCATTATTGATGGAGCCTTTGTTCTTATTCCAATATGGTGACCTCAAATGAAGCGGGATGTTCCTGAATTTGCGCACAGGTCTCTTTCTCACAGTAACATCCTCAACATCAGATTCACTTTCATCCATAGCCCTGTTGTCCAGAAAAAAACAGAGGCAGTTCATAACCCCACAAGTATAATTCCAGAATTGTATAACTACATTTCTATAATCTATAAACTATATGTCCATAATTTGAGAAATACATATCCATAATTGTAAAGAAATCAACGTCACTAGTTGAATAAGAATATATTCATATTAATCAAACTTAATATTCATAATTATTGATGAATTGAAAACCATATTTATAGTCTAAATCTGCATAAGAAAGCAGTAACCTACTTATCAAATTCATCAATCTCAGCAGCAGTTTGGGCAGCAGGGGTAGTAGGAGTGGTGGACTTTTCGAATGGCACTCTGATTAGCAATGGAGTTGCTTCCTTCTCTGTTGATACTCCTGCACTCCTCACAATGTTATCCACCAAGGTGTCCAAAGGCTGCTGTTGAGATGGTGGTGGGGTTGGTGTAGAGCGTCCAAGTAGCTCAAATGATGGGACTTCTATTTCCATTTCCTTTCTTGTTTTTTCAAAAGCTGCTACCAGAGAATCAACTGCTGATGTGAAGCTCTCACTTCCAAAGAAGATGTCATCCAATTGCGAGGCAGTTGGGCTAGGAGTCGGTTGAATTGTGCTTGCAGCACTCAGCATTGTTGATATTCTTGAAAAAGCCCTCTTCATGATTTCAACCGGGGCCCCTTGCTTGCCAATGTCAGACATGACCTGACCGAACTCAAGGACATCTGCTGTAAGCCGTTGAAGCACATTTGTTACTCGGTCAACATTTGTCAGAGGCACAGATGGAGCTGGAATAGTTGGTGTAGCAGCAGGGCTGGACACTGGCCTTGGTATTGCAGCAGGAGGAGGTGCAGGTCGGGGTGATGATGTAGATGCAATGGCAGTAGGTCTCTGAAATCGAGGGATAACTTTGCCCTTACCAAAACCCCCTGATTTTATCTCAGCCGATACTCGCTTGCGTACAAGGCTTTTTGTCCAAGCTTTTATTGCTGGGAATGTGCGGTTGACGGTCATGCCTCTGAACTGTACTCGGTCAAAGTAGAAGAGCTTCAAGAAGTACAGAAGAGTATGTTAAGGAATTGAATAACTACATATTCAGAATTGCATATCTATAATTCCATAATTGCATAACTATAATTCCATAATTATAAAACTAGATATCCAGAATTGCATATCTATAATTCCATAATTGCATAACTATAATTCCATAATTGGATGACTATAATTCCATAATCCATAAAGTACACATCTATAATTGATTAACTATAATTCCATAATTGTAAAACTATTATTCCATAATTGGAAAACCACAATTCCACAATTACAAAACTACACATCCATAAGGGCATAACCACACATACAGAATTGCATATCTATGATTCCATAATTGCATGAATATAATTACATAATTAGAACATTTTATGTATAATGGGATATTACCAGGATGAATACCATTGGACCTCCAAAGGATCTGGTAGGAGAGTCTTTGTAAATGTCATACGAATCAATTAAAGAATTGTACGTGTACTTGCACCAATTAAGTCTTGAGATTGACCGGATGTTGAGCAATGACTTGATAACTCGATAGTTGGCATATCTTCCTGTATTTCCCCGGAGCAGAGATGAGACAGCAAACACCACAAAGTCTCTCTTGAAGGCATCTCCATGGTCACCTCTCCTGATTATTTCATCAGGCATCTTTGTTGTTATGGGTGACCCTGACCTGACATTCCATCTTTTCCTCCACTCAGTCAGGACCTTATTATATGCAGCTGTAGAATTTTCCTCACTCTTTGTACCTTCCTCAACATCTCTCTTCCCCCGGGGGAGTCCCAAGATGTATTCAACATCCTCTTCACCAACATGTAGATGGTCACCATCCAATATGAAGTCTGATTTGAAAACATCAAACCTTTGCAGGAGATACTCAACAAGTTGTGAGTAATTGCTTGAAAATTGTAGGTGCAGCAGCCCTCCAAAACCCATATCAATCACAGCATCCTTTTGGTCATGTGTTAGACGCTGGACAAGGTCATACATTTGCTTGGGACCCATTCGTGTACTGAAGTAGTTCACATCAGGGTCCCGTACTCTCTCTTGCTTTTGTGGTGGTGCCCTCTTTCTTTTTACAGCTGCTGGTTGTTGCCTTGTCGAAGGCTCTGCTTGATCTTCCTGGGCAGGGGTGAGTTCAGCAGCTTGTGAGCTCAATACTGCTCTGGTTGTTCTCTTTTTTACAGACTTCACAAATTGACCAAGTGTAGAATCATCTGCCACACCTGACTGATCCATTTCTGCAAATAAAAAACATCAAGTGAGGTTAACAGAGTACTATATCCAAAACTTCATAACTACAATTCCATAAACACACAACTATACTTCCAGAATTGTAAAACTACAATTCCATAATCTCATAAGTATACCACAAGGCAAGTTATGCTAAAAAGGATTTGAATGCAATTTGGTGCACAGAGTAAGGTTCACAGAGTAATACATCCAAAACTGTATAACTATAATTCCATAAACGCACAATTATACTTCCAAAATTGTACAATTACAATTCCATAAGCATACCTACAAGGCAAATTATGCTAAAAAGGCATTGATGCAGTTTGGTGCACAGAGTAAGGTTCACAGAGTACTACATCCAAAACTCTATAACTACAATTCCATAAACGCACAACTATATTTCCAAAATTGTAAAACTACAATTCCATAAGTATACGCACAAAGCAAATTATGTTAAGAAGGCATGAATGCAGTTTGGTGCACAGAGTAAGGTTAACAGAGTACTACACCCAAAACTGTATGTCTACAATTCCATAAATGTACAACTATACTTCCAAAATTGTAAAACTACAGTTCCATAAACTTATAAATATACTCATAAACCCATAATCATAACCATGCACGTTAATAATCAAATAACTATACATTCATACAAGATTAAACAGTATAAAACCCTAGTTTAAAATTTCATAAATATATACTCAAAATGAATGCTTGTTTTGTGTAAATGCATTATGTATCAACGTAAAATGCATTTATACCTGTTATAGGATGATGATGAGCTCTGGTTTACAGAGAAAACGCTGTTGAATTCGCAATGATCGGACGCCGGCGACAATAGCGACGACGAGTGTGTTTGAAAGCTAGAAAATTCTAAAGAAATGGTAAGGAAATGGAGATGATTGAAGCGTTTACGGAGGGTATCGTGTTGGAGAAGGAATGGAGTGCGGGAAGTGAAATGCAGTGGAGAAGAAACGAAGGAGCATTGTTTTATTTTAAAAAAAAAAAAAATATCTGATTGGTGGAGTGAAACGGTGCCACTAACGGCACCGTTACTCCCTAAACGACGTCGTGTGGATCCGGATGCACCAAGTACGGTGCAACCGGATGCACAGCATAACGATTGAACGTTGCGTATGTGTTATTGCACATTGGGCTTTGGCCTCATATGACAACGTTCGGGATTGGGAATTGGGATAGCTTATATATAAGTATTCCACTCGAGCCCATCTTTACTAGACAATACGCATTTGTTTTAATCATTATTGTATGGACCGTGATTTATATAGTTATATAGATCATGATTTAAATATACATAAAGTATATTATTTTAACTCATAAAATATATTATCTTACTCCATAAATTTTATTATTCTAACACATAAAGTACATTATACATTATTCTAACTCATAAAATTAAATATATTATTCTAACACATAAAGTATATTATTCTAACTCACAAAATATATTATCTTACCCCAGAAATTTCATTATTCTAACAGATATAAATTGCATTATTCTAACACGCCCGTGGAACAATATTAATTTTTATTTTTAACATCAAAACGACGTTGTTTTAGATCGTGGTCTACACAATAATATGCCCACTTATTTGTTTGTTTTTTTTTTTTTTTATGTGTGACATTTTAGTCCATTTTTTAAGGAATTGTTAAAATGTTTCATTTATCGTAACGTAAGCTAACACTCAACTATAAAGAATGTTGTGTAATATATATATACTCTCCGTACTTGAACTATATTAATTAAATACTTTAAATTAAGGTAAACATCAATCACTTATAATTAATAACCATCCTCAATTATGAATCATATCTACATTTTTTCGACACTTCTCCTAAGAACATTTTGACAAAGTTGTTTCCAGACTTTGTTAGCATTAGTTGATTTAAATTTGTTTAGTTATTATTACTTTTTTTTTTTAGATAACATTCCATCACGAATGCTCTCATCACTTGACTTTTCAATGATATTACTCTTTTGTTCTTTCTATATTTAAAAAGAGCAGTAAGATAATACGGGAAAAGAAATGATTAATAAGACTCGTAACCTACAAGTAAAAGAAAGAAAAGCAAATAATACGGAATAATTGAATAATTAAAAAACGTAGAAAGCTATAATTAAGTAATAGACTATATAAATTATAAAGTGTGGCTTTCGAGGGAATCCTGGATCACTTTCTTTCTATAGACAGTGGATGTTCCAATATTTTGTCTCAACTTATATTATAGCATTAATAATATAATTAATGACGTACAATTGATTATTCCGCCTTATAATTTTAATTGAAAAAAATAATAAAGAAGTAAATCAGTTTAGATTGTCTATAGTTGACTTATTCAAATAAAAAAGATCATCAATAACCTCCTCTCACTTAGAGTTAAACTTGTAACTTTTTAAACTTGAGTATTAATTTGTTGTTAGTTACAATTGTGCAATTTACAATAATTATGTTAAGTGGTAATATGGATATATACTTTGATCGACCATGACTTTTATTCTAGTTAGAACAAGAGTGGATCGACAAATAATACTTTATACTTTCTTATATATTTATATACAATTAAAAATTTAAAAAATATCATTTTAAACAATTACTTTCCCACCTATTATATTGCACAGACCAACAAGTACTTGTCACCCCAACAAAAAAGATTATGAGATAAAATCGTGTAAATTAAGATATGATTTGGTTTATCTTGTTTAGAACGTCATGGAATTGAAGGCATTACATTAACATTATCACATCCAAACAAACAACCCACATATGGACACTACGTATATCCAACCACTAAAATCGAAAAAAAGGTGACAACAGGGATAAAAATTAAAGTTGCAGCTATTCAAACCAATTAATATAGATTTGGATCATGTCATATATATATATATATATATATATATATATATATATATATATATATATATATATATATATAAACTTGGATTTAAAATGTATTAAAAGAACAAGAATTCCTATTATAAAGTCAATTGAATGATGTTTTTTGTCTCAATTAAAAGACTAATAATTAAATTGATAGTATCATGACTTTCAATTCAATATATATGGAGTATCAAATTAAATGATAGTGCTTTATTTAATAAAAGTTTAAGTTGATAGTTAGATAACACTTTTTCTTTTTTTTTTTTCCCGAAAGGAGATCGTTAGACAACACTTATTTGCATATATATTATGCTAAAAAGATTAGTTGAGGTTTTGGTCATTTGCGCCATGTTTGGAAATTAAAACCACTACTTAACCATAACTTAAAGACAAAGTCTAAGATTCTAACATAATTATAAACTCGAGATGGAACTATACATGCTCAGGGTAAATCATTAAAAATTAAAACATTATTCAATCAAAACTTATGGCCAAAATCGCATTTATATTCACTACTCGAAAGTTTATATTGGATAAATTCTGCTTCGATGTAATAGTCCGCAAATTACATAGGAGAGGTAAATCGCACTATGAAAACCTGGTGTGACCGCATTATGTGTGAAAATTATGTTACAAATCCATGACTTTCGTAAAGGAAAATTATGTTCCACCCACTTGATCTATCACTCGGCCTTTTGTAGACACATTTTTTTTTTGGGGGGTGTTTTTGGTGGTATTGTAAGTGGCAGCGTCAACCTATGTTGTTTGCCTTGTAAGTGTGTCCAACTAGAAACATATTTTATAAGACTTTACTCTAAAACTAGGTAGGAATTGAAGTGAAAAACTTGGCACATAGGACGGCAGTGCATGCATCAGTGGACCACGTACCCACCAGCAGCCACCATCTTCATCTTTCTTAGCGTGTGGTGAACACCAATCATACTCCTCAAAACTGTTGTACTCAAAAGGGAAGGAATGAAGCAAAAGGAATAAGCAAATGTACATTTCATGCATGCACCACTTTTCCACTCACATAAGGAATTCCGCACATATTGAAAGCAAGTTTTAAATGCGACTTTTAATCCACTAAATCAATGCCTTAAAAGCTCTTATTCAATTATTAACTCTCCTATTATATTTGTTTCTTAGAGCAAGGCTAATGGTTTGAGGTATTTTTGTAAATTTTAGACCGAGTATTTATTTTTTTTTAGAGTAATGTCAATAATTTGAGGTATTTTTGTAAATTTTAGACCGAGTATTTGTTTTTTTAGAGTACATGAATTTCATTCAACAAAATAAGAAACTAATTTTAATAGTGTAATACAATCTAAACAAGCATATCAGGATAACACTGTGTTTACGTCGTAAGATCCAACTTCAACTCCTTGACTAAGAAGTATAAAAATTGTGTTTCACTCACTTAACTCTGCAATATTATTTACTGATAAGACTATTATGTATGACGCCAAAAAAGTTTCGTACGTACACGGTTGAGATTGGATGGAGGACATTCTTAATTGCTATCAAATTTTAGTGTCTCTTAAAATAGGAAACTACTCCGTAGGGGTTTTCCTTGTGATAAAAGGAACAAAGAAGAAGGACAAAACAATTAGCTTTCAAAAATAAATAAATAATCAAAGCAATTAGAATTGAGATTCTTTTTGACACTCTAACAGTGACCAATTCTTTTTTAAATCTTAAAATCTTTGTCAACTTATATTATAATTCACAAGTGGAGCCTACAAGTTATTTTCAAGGGGTAATTATTATATATTGATGTTGAGAATTGAGATATTAAATTGTGAGCTGAGTAATCATATTACCTAAAAATTCTAGAAAATATTACAAAAGATGAATTATAAAATCATTTTAAAAAAAACCCATATTACCTTAAAGCATATAACATGAATCAAACCAAGTATGTATAGTACTTTCTACTAAACCAGCCTAGTATCACGCACTATTTGCGTGACAGTGTTAGACTCAATTTGACGTGTATGAGGGGTAAGACTTGTCTGCAAGGTAAGTGGGGCCTGGAACGCTGCATGGGTGTTGGCCGTTGCATCAAAGGCCCGTTATACTAGACTATCAATAGTTGATTCT